CGCTCTCCTTCTCGGTCGCCAACGTGCTGCCACTGATACCCCCGGTGCCAGTCGTCCTGCGACCCTTCCTCGTACTCCGCCCCTTCACTCTCCTCCACGTCCCCATGCTCTCTCACTCCCTCTCTCTTCGCTTTTGTATAACACCCGCCCTCGGTCCCATGCTTGCAGTGCCGCGAGCAGGGAGTAGCTCTCGCATCCGTCTTGCTCCTCCCGCGCGTGCTGTGAGGGCTGTGAGGGCCGTGAGGGCTGTGAGGGCTGTGAGGGCAGTGAGGGCTGTGAGGGCCGTGAGGGCTGTGAGTTACACACGTGGAGGCTCGTCTATCTGTCCTACCCCTAGAACGCCCCGTTCCCTCAGTCTTGCACCGAGACGGCCCCGTTTCGTCAGCACTGCCTCTAGAACGGAGCACAGACGCGGGGGATACGATTTTCTCCTCTTCCTCACTCGAGTTTGGAACAGCCAGAGCACCATCACCAGCAGCACCACTCGACCCACCACCACCAGCACCGTCACCACCACTACCACCACCACTACCGATACCACCGCTATCAGCCCCAGCGCCTTCAGCACCAGTGCCGCCCGCACTGCCCGCGGCAGCAGTGGCAGAAGCAGCAGCTGCGGATCCAACTCCGGGCTCTTGCGCTTGCTTCTCTGCGGCTGCGAGAGAGAGGCGTTTCAATCCCTGCTCCAGAGCACTGGCCGTGGTGCTGGTGGTGGGGAGGGTGCGAGGGGAGCGTGCAGCTGGGGATGCGAGGCTTACATTCTTCTTCCTTCCTCCTGCGTCACCAGCTCCTGTTGCCCCTTCTCCTCCTGCTGCTGCTGCTGCTACTGCCTCTTCTCCAGTGCCTCCTCCTCCCCCTCCCCCCGGCCTTCCACTCCTACCGTGACTGTTCACCCTGACCCCATGCCCCCTGCATCTTCCGCCTCTTCCGCCCCCGCTCCCCCCTCCGCTCTGCACACCCGAAGCAGCAGTGGTGCAGCACGAGGCTTCGGAACCCCGGCGAAACGGCAGAGGCTGGGCGCCGTCGCATGCGTGGTTGCGGTGGTGGTGGTTGCTGTAACCGAGGCCGGGATGCATCTGTTGCTGCTGCTGCTGCTGCTGATGCATCATCTGCTGCTGCTGGCCTTGGGGCATTTGTCGGTTGCGCAGCCCTGCGGCTGCCATCGCGGCGGCTGCCACCGCGCCCCCCGCCAGTGCCGCCCAAGGGAGCGCCTCCGGGGGGAGCAGGCGCTGGAGAGGGGGAGGGCGGGTGAGGAGTAGGGGGGTTGCAGAGACGGCGGATGAGGAGAAGGGAGGAGGGAAGGCGGGGAGGAAGGTAGTGCGCGGAGAAGGGGGAAGGGACGACAAAGCAGATAACTTAGTGAAAATTAGAAGGCAACCTTACGCTAATCAGTCTCATTTTGATCATGTCACTTGTCATGATTTGTTTCTCTGCTTCGTACCTAGAAAATAGTCAACATTTCGTTTATTACCCTCCAAAAGGTTTCTTTTCTTACCCTGGAATAAGCGTCTCTATGCCTTGATGCTGAAGATGACTCATCCTGCTTCTGCCGCTTCGGCTGGGCTCCTAGTTGCTGCTGCTGTTGCTGCTGAAGGGGTTGTTGGTGCCGCTTCTTTTCTTGATCTGGAGCTGACGATGCTTCTCGTGGGATTTTTCGAAGCTGCGTCTCAGGTTGGGACCGAACCTCCCCAGCAGCTGACTGCGGTGTGGAATCCTTTGGCGACACGTCTACCTCAGCACGTCGCGACGGGTTACTGATATGTTCGCTGGCTCCTCCGGTGACAGTGGCCGTGCGAACTTTATTCTGCAGGGTAAAAAATAAACAGGAAGGCCGACAAAGAATCCATATGAAAAACATGCTCAAACAACAATAACGCGAGAAATATCCATTTTCGAGAAGATAGTCATAGCAGTTTGAAGTAGCTCGAGATAAAAAAAAAAAGGGCCGAAACAGAGGGCTGAAGCGTCGATCACGGTGCTTCGCGAACTTTGGAAGCTGGCGTCGACTGTACTTAGCAAGGCACAGACCAGGGAGCAATGCAATTTTCACCTACGATGCCTTTCGTCAAACATTTACCTTGATGCTGATCGATCCTTTCTGCGTGACATGGGTGCTCCAGTCGTGCCTCTCCATGAGAAGATTAATCTAGTAGGAGTAACTCGATTCTCTTATCTGGTTCGTCTGTGAAAATATCAGCACTACATCGCAAAGACGGGCTGGCGAACTAGCATTTGGGCGGAGGGAGCATAGCGAGAAGACTGGAATCAACAACTGGGCTGTACTACCGGCCACAGCAGCTATGCTTTTGATAGACAACTAATAAAGTAGATCGCCAACCAGAACCTAGATTATGGCGGGAAGGTGGTTGAGTTGATCTATCCATGTGCTGTTTACACAGTAGTCCATTCTACTGTAACCAAAAAGGAACTCGAGAGTTCTTCATTGGTCAACCTCAAAGTTTGCCCGCATATCCCTACGTTTACCAGAAGAAGGTTGTAGGTGGTCCACTTTGTTGCATCGATGTTTTAGCACGGTGCGGATCGGTGAAATGCTCTTCACGAGAAGTAACACCTCGTCCACAAGTTCCTTCCGATTTTCGCTTGGCCCTGATTTTTGCGACATGGGGGGTCAGCGAACTAGTGGACGAGAATGATGGCGACGGCACCCACGCTGCCACGTTCAGCGAAACCTACAACACCCAACTGGGACTCCGCGTTGGCGACTGGTTAAAGTTTCACTTCGTGTTGCACGAACGAGGCGACGGGAAGACGCAGCCGTTGGAGGAGAGGCGAGGGCTCCTAATCGCTTGTCAGACACGAGGTGGTAACTTCGTGGGTGCTTACATGTGGTAACCAGCTCAGCACAGAAACGTAGGACGAGATAGCGGCGGTTGAAAAAGGTTTCGTGCAATTTAGTATGCTGCACAGCGGTTCCTGGCCCTGCAGATGCTTGTCCTGATCCAAAATCCTTGCGCTAGCTTGCGAAGTCACACTACCAGACTGCATCAGGAACCAACACCCATGGTTGATCCTGAATGCATCTGCACGTAAAGCCACCATTCCTTAGCGGAGAGAAACCCAACATCCCGTAATATAAATGGCGAAAACCATGGCAGCAAAGCGACACGGGACATGCAGATTCGCTGAACGAAAATAGGCAGCACAGTAGGCTCTAATCCTGGAACGAGCGACGCGTTCGTGTCCGCAATGCACGGTCTCATCTGGTCCAATGGATCGCTACAATGTCTACACCATCATCCATTCCGCCTTCGTCGCCTTCGCCGCTGTAACACTAAGGTACCGTACGCGGACTGCACGCGGAACTCGTCTTAGTAGCACAATTGTCTGTCGATCATGTTACAGAAGCAGATGAAGGGCCTGACAAGCCGTCGTCAATTCGCATTTTTCTCAAATTTCGCCTTCTTAAACCCCGCATCTCCAGGCATTTATCGCTCTTCTATTTCTTCTCGGTCCTGCTCTCTCCGCTTCACAAACTACCGAGACGCAAGAGTCTCCTAACGTGACTGCTCAGACGCTTGACAACGACAGTGGTTCGACCGCGTCGAATCCCACCAAACCACCGAAGATCACACCCTTCAACTTCACCCTCTACCACTCCAGGTTCGAATCCCCGTCCCAAGTTTAGATTCTCGTCGCAGGTTCGATTCCTGCCTCTGGCACAAAGCCACTCTCTCGGGGGTCTCAATTGTACCTGGCCCGACATACCTATACCCCAAGGTTCTACTTTTCGTCTCTTCCTCGGTCGCGACCTCCCTTCCGCCCTAGTTTCTTCGTGACATTTGAAGAACCTTATCCAGAATTTCCCGTGTATATTATCACCATGTTGACCATTCCCACGCAGCGATGCATTGCTACGCAAGATTCGCGCTCTTGCAGCCCGGCATCCCGATGCTGCAGAGGTGAGCTTTTCTCTTGTCTGTGCAGTGCACAGACGAAAAGAGGTGAGCAGCGAGCTTCCTCTGGCACACAGACTTCGTTACCAGTCCTCCCATACCCATGCTGCAGCAGAGATGGGCTTGCAGGCCCTTGCTGAACTGCTCTTACTATCGTTGAACCCTTCATCATGTCGGCAGTTGTTTGAAAAGAAGCGTGGTACAACGAATCAGTTTCAATCGGTGAAGTTTCATTTAGGAGGTCGATATCAAATATGCCTCCGTTTCCTTTCCTTTCCTCTCCTTTCCTTTCCCTGTCTTATCATCGTTTCCTGCACCATCCTCCAACCAATACAGCTTAAGGAGATAACGATTCAGTCTTCTGGCGGGTACACATCTACCCTCACTGCAGTCACGCTACACTGTGCCCGCATCCCACTGCCTCGCTCCCAAGCTGGCAGTCCTGTAGCCTCGGATGCAGGCTCGGGCCGAACCTCCAGTTCGGGCTTGGAAAGTGGCAGAGGAGGGTTGGACAGACGGCATGGGGCTGCAAAAGGTGTGGAAAGAGAGCACTGGATGAGGAGGGGGGATGGGGCGAGCAGCAACACTCGCAGACGACTCATTAGCACCAGAAGCAGCATAGTCAGCAGTGAGACGAGTGAGAGGAGTGAGAGGAGTGAGAGGAGTGAGAGGAGTGAGCGGAGCACGGGCAGCAATCCTGGTGCGGGCAGGGAAGGTGGGGAGGTTACGGTAAGCAGGGAGATTGGTCTGACAAACCTCACAACCGCTCTCCACTCAGATGCTCTCAAAACATTGTCACTGAGGCGGCACCTGCGCAGCATTCAGCCTGGCAGACCTTCCTCACTTCCTGACGCCTCTCCGAAGCATGATCTGTCAATACCGCTTGCTGTCTCTGCTGCTGCTGGTGATGGTGGTGCTATGGCTGCAGCTGCTGCGGCTGGTGATGCTAGTAGAACGCAAGGTGATTTTGCTCAGGGTGGTGCTATTGGGGGACCTTCTCTGCGATCTGCTTCTGATGCTGGAAACAAGGGGACAGGTGTTTCTGGTGCTGCTGCTGCTGCAGCAGACAGCAATGTAGCTATTGCAATGGGTGACGTGGTGACTGCAAACGGTGATGTGGGGGGGGCGAGAGAAGCAGGGGAAGTGACAACAGCAGACGAGGGTGCGTTCAGTGGTTTCGGTGGCGATGCGCGCTACTTCAAGAGGCTGGGGGCTCGCAGCAACGCGTCGTGCAGCAGTGCAGACAGCATAGAGGGGCTTTCCACGGTTCTCCCCGCGGAGCTGTCAGGAAAGCTGCGCATCCTCCTCGTAAGTACCGCTTGTGTTTGTGTGTGACCGTCATGTAGGTTCTCGTGTAGTCCCTCACACACACTAAGAAAAAGGCTGATTTTTGCAACGTTGTTGATTGAGAGCCTTTAGCCTGAGGACGCGTCACCTCTTTCTTCAGGAGGGCGATCGATCGTGCACACGATCGGTGTGTGATATGTACAGTGATTTCACGAACTAACGAAATACAATGTTTCCCTTTTCAGGAAAAATCGTGAATGTACAGTAAATTGGTCACCACGAAGTTGTCGCCCAGAGCTCACGCGATCGATCGTGCAATTTTGCCCCACGAGTTTCCAATCTTGTCACCTGTGGCTCGGTGGAGCCCCGCGATCGCAAAATTGCAGTTGGGCACACCGATCGTGTCAAAACTGATCCTTCTTTACTGGGGAGGGGATGTTGTTGATGTGGATATACGGAAAAAAAGTGGGCACCAGTGCTGCAGTACAGACATCATCGAGGGGCTTTCTACAGTCCTCCCTGCGCATCCTTCTTATAATACCGTTCGGTGCTAGCGTGTGCTGCCCATGTCTCACTATCCTTGCCTCGTCCTCCTCCCTTCCTAACCCCTTCCCCACCCACCCCGTTCCCGCAAGGGTCAAGGTGTTTGGGCAGCACGGAACGGAAGCCATCAGCACTGAGCTTGGCTTTAACCTGCTCGCAGGGTCCTCATGGGGCCGAGGAAGGTTGGCAGAGAGGCGGGAGGAAAAGACGAACGCGGGAGTATTTCTATCGACTCACTCGTGCCTCACTATCCCTGCCGCGTATGTTTTTTGAGAATTCTCAAAAAACATATTTCTATCGACTCACTCGTGCCTCACTATCCCTGCCTCTTCCCCATCCCCTCTCATCCCTCCCTTCCCACCCTCTCCCCACCCGCCCACCCCCTGCCCTCAAGGCTCAAGGTGTTTGGGCAGCACGGGCGAGAAGCCATCACCACCGAGCTGGGCTTTAACCTTCTCAGGGTTCTCGTGGGGGAGAGAGAGGTGGTTGAGAAAGGAGCGGCGGAGAAAAACGACGAGTCGGGAGGAGGGGAGGAAGATACGGAGGGAGAAGAGAAGGAAGGGAAGGGTGAAGGGGAAGAGGAGAAGAGTGAGGAAGTGGAGGAGGAGAAGGGGGAGGGGGGGGAGGGAGGGGGAAGGGAAGGAGGGGTCTGAGGGTGGAATAAACTGGGAGCAACTGGCTCTGATCTGGCCACACCTGGTTATCACGGTGAGTTGACATGTGAGTCGACGACGACTGAGTTATTTTTTTTTAGTCGACTCTGTTTTTTAGTCGACTCTGTTTTTTAGTCGACTCTGTTTTTTAGTCGACTCTGTTTTTTAGTCGACTCTGTTTTTTAGTCGACTCTGTTTTTTAGTCGACTCTGTTTTTTAGTCGACGATAGTCGACTCAAAATCACGGTGAGCTGTCCTGTGAGTCGACGATGACTGAGTAAACAGCAGCCTATGGCGCTTGGGCTGGGAATGACTATATGTGTTTCGCTGAGTGAGTCTATTGCTTGCAGGTGGTCCCCATGGAGAATGTGAACGGGAGGAAGAAGGTGGAGGCAGGCGAGCTTTGTGAACGACGAAACGGTGAGAGGTGTAGTGTGAGTGACGAGCAGAGATGTAATGAGGAGGAGAGATGCAATGTAGCGACGGGCGGGGTTGTAACGTGTGAAGCACAAAAGGAGGTTGATTTCAGAAGACCACAAATGGCAAGACCAAAGAACTGGGAACACCACAGAGAGATTCACTTGAATTATGGAGCTGGGGGGTGTGTGTGGCACTCCACAATCACGTGAAATTAAAACTCCATTCACAAGAATCGCTACCACGCGGCATGAAATGCCTGCCTGGTTCTTGAGAATTTTCAAACCCAGTTGATTACGTGACGTTGGCTGCCATGGGGAACCAATCCACCGGGAATCGTTTTCTAGGCAATACTTGTTGTTCGTGATTCAAGCAACGAGTTCTTAGGCAAGAGTACATTGCAGCACCCCTCCTGCTTTTCACTCAACTCCTCCCCTTGCTCTCCAACTCCTCCCCTCCCCCTTGTCCCCATGGCCCTTCCCCCATGTGCCATTCCCCCATGTGCCATTCCCCCATGTGCCATTCCCCCATGTCCCATTCCCCCATGTGCCATTCCCCCATGTCCCATTCCCCCATGTCCCATTCCCCCATGTCCCATTCCCCCATGTCCCATTCCCCCATGTCCCATTCCCCCATGTCCCATTCCCCCATGTCCCATTCCCCCATGTCCCATTCCCCCATGTCCCATTCCCCCATGTCCCATTCCCCCATGTCCCATTCCCCCATGTCCCATTCCCCCATGTCCCATTCCCCCATGTCCCATTCCCCCATGTCCCATTCCCCCATGTCCCATTCCCCCATGTCCCGTTCCCCCATGTCCCATTCCCCCATGTCCCATTCCCCCATGTCCCATTCCCCCATGTCCCATTCCCCCATGTCCCATTCCCCCATGTCCCATTCCCCCATGTCCCATTCCCCCATGTCCCATTCCCCCATGTCCCATTCCCCCATGTCCCATTCCCCCATGTCCCATTCCCCCATGTCCCATTCCCCCATGTCCCATTCCCCCATGTGCCATTCCCCCATGTCCCATTCCCCCATGTCCCATTCCCCCATGTCCCATTCCCCCATGTCCCATTCCCCCATGTCCCATTCCCCCATGTCCCATTCCCCCATGTCCCATTCCCCCATGTCCCATTCCCCCATGTCCCATTCCCCCATGTGCCATTCCCCCATGTCCCATTCCCCCATGTGCCCCATGGCATGGCAGGGCGTGGTGTGGACATCAACAGGAATTGGGACTGCGACTGGGGCGTGAAAGAAAAGGTGGGGTACCATACCACACCATGCCACATCGCACCAAGCCACACCGCACCATGCCACACCACACCATGCCACACCGCACCACTGAGAAGTCAGCCCTTGCTCTCTCCCTCCTCGCTTTCCCTTGCTCCTGAAGGACAACAACTTTCTGGAAAAGGCCCTGCAGGCCCTCTTGACTCATAATCTCAGGGTTTTTTAGATCTACCTTTTCCACACTAGCTTCGCACTGTTGATCCTGTTGCTAAGGCGTCATCTTCACGCACTGCTGCCCTTCGATTAGGAGTCGCGAAGACCCTTGCTCCTGCAGGACGACAACTCTCTGGAAAAAAACCCTGCAGGCGCACATGCGCTCAGCCAGGCAGAGGCAGAGGAGATGAGGGAGCTGGCGGTGTGGCTGTTTAAATATCATCGCTCGCTTCTATTCTCTCTTATCCTCTCGCCCCACCAGGACTACAGCCCTCTAGAGGAGGCCCCTGGCACGCACGCATTCAGCGAGCCAGAGGCAGAGGCGATGAGGTTGCTGGCAGTGTGGCTGCGCCCACACGTGTGGTGTGGGTGAACCCAAAGCTTGCCATTCACAAGCACACTTGCGTGCTCTCGCCCCCTCTCCTCCCTTGCTCTCTCTCTCTCTCTCTCTGGTTCTCAGGACGACAACCCTTTAGAGGAAGCTCCTGGCACGCACGCATTCAGCGACCCAGAGGCAGGCAGAGGCGATGCGGCAGCTGATGGCAGTGTGGCTGATTGGAATCTATCAGCCGTCTCACTCTCCCTCATCTCCCTCCTCACTCCCTCTTTGATTCCTCAGGACTACAAACCTCTTGAAGAGGTCCTGGCACCCATGCGTTCAGCGAGCCAGAGGCAGAGGCGATGCGGCAACTGGCGGTGTGTCTGAGTGTAACTTATCAGTAGTCTCACTCTCCCTCATCTCCCTCACTCCCACTCTAATTCACCAGGACGACAACCCTTTAGAGGAAGCTCCTGGCACGCACGCGTTCAGCGAGCCAGAGGCAGAGGCGATGAGGCAGCTGGCAGTGTGGCTCCGACCACACGTGTGGTGTGGGTGAACCCAAAGCTTGCCATTCACAAGCACACCCCTTCTCTCCTGCCTTGCTCTCTTGCTCTCTCGCCCCTCAGGATTACAACCCTTTGGAGGAGGCCCCTGGGACCCATGCATTCAGCGAGCCGGAGGCAGAGGCGATGCGGCAGCTGGCAGTGTGGTTCAGGCCTCACGTGTGGGTGAACGTGCATTCGGGCATGGAGGCGCTTTTCACTCCGCTGGACCACCGGGGGGATGGCGTGGATGCAAGCACACTTGCTGCCATGCACGTGAGTGGAGAATACAGGGTGGGAGAAGTAGTGTGCACGTGTGGGTGCACGTGTGGGTGCACGTGTGGGTGCACGTGTGGGTGCACGTGTGGGTGCACGTGCATTCGGGCATGGAGGCGCCTTTGTCCCCCGTTGACCACCGGAGGGCTGCCATGCATGTGAGTGAGCGAGTGAGTGAGTGAAAGTGGGGAGGGAGGGTCTGAGAGGGCAAGGAGGGAAGGTATGGGTGTTGTGGGTGCACGTGTGGGTGAAGGTGCATTCGAGCATGGAGGCTCTGTTTACTCGCCTGGAGGCTGGACCACAGGGGGGATGGGAGTGGATGGGAGCACGCTCGCTGCCATGCATGTGAGATGGGGAGGGATGGGAGGGAGGGAGGGAGGGAGGGAGGGAGGGAGGGAGGGAGGGAGGGAGGGAGGGAGGGAGGGAGGGAGGGAGGGAGGGAGGGAGGGAGGGAGGGAGGGAGGGAGGGAGGGAGGGAGGGAGGGAGGGAGGGAGGGAGGGAGGGAGGGAGGGAGGGAGGGAGGGAGGGAGGGAGGGAGGGAGGGAGGGAGGGAGGGAGGGAGGGAGGGAGGGAGGGAGGGAGGGAGGGAGGGAGGGAGGGAGGGAGGGAGGGAGGGAGGGAGGGAGGGAGGGAGGGAGGGAGGGAGGGAGGGAGCGACGCGAGCGAGCGAGCGAGGGAGGGAGGGAGCGAGGGAGGGAGGGAGGGAGGGAGGGAGGGAGGGAGGGAGGGAGGGAGGGAGGGAGGGAGGGAGGGAGGGAGGGAGGGAGGGAGGGAGGGAACGAGGGAGGGAGGGAGCGAGGGAGGGAGGGAGCGAGGGAGGGAGGGAGCGAGGGAGGGAGGGAGGGAGGGAGGGAGGGAGGGAGGGAGGGAGGGAGGGAGGGAGGGAGGGAGGGAGGGAGGGAGGGAGGGAGCGAGGGAGGGAGCGAGGGAGGGAGCGAGGGAGGGAGCGAGGGAGGGAGCGAGGGAGGGAGCGAGGGAGGGAGCGAGGGAGGGAGGGAGCGAGGGAGGGAGCGAGGGAGGGAGCGAGGGAGGGAGCGAGGGAGGGAGCGAGGGAGCGAGGAGGGAGGGAGGGAGCGAGGAGGGAGGGAGGGAGCGAGGGAGGGAGGGAGGGAGCGAGGAGGGAGGGAGGGGGGGAGGGAGGGAATGGGGGAGGCAGAAGTGGGTGGGTGGGACACAAATTACTCAAGATTCCTTGTCCACTCACGAAATGGCCGTGAATGGCCGTTCCAATCACCGTCTGGCTCGTTCATACGCACTGCCGTGCTCGCTGTGTCACCCGTGTTTCAATCAATCCCGTGTTTCCACCCCTCCAACGTCAATCTCTTCTCTCTTCCCCCCTCCTACTTCTCTCCCCTCGCCAGTCCCTCTTGGAGCGCCTGGGTGCAAGCCACTGTGGTGCTCGCTGTGGGGCTCACTCTGTCATTCTTTGACATTCGGTAACCAGAATCATACCCTCACAGCTTCCAAGTGCCTTCCTCCCCCTTCCTACTTCTCTCCCCTCGCCAGTCCCTCTTGGAGCGTCTGGATGCAGCTCACTGTGGTGCTCGCTGTGTCATCGGCTCTGGCGGGGGCTTTGTTGGGTGAGTGCTGCGAGGTTGAAAGTGGTGCTGCGAGGCTGAAAGTGGTTCTGAGAGGTTGAATGTGGTGCCGCAAGGTTGAAATGCATGTTCTTCCCATGAAGCCTCTCAAGCCTTCCCAAGCCTCTCAGGCCTTCCAAGCCTCTCAGGCCTTCCCAAGCCTCTCAAGCCTTCCAAGCCTCTCAAGCCTTCCAAGCCTCTCAGGCCTCCCATACACACCATCCAGCAACCCCGTCATTGCCTCCCCTCCCCTTCGTACGGTGCAAGTACTTCTCCTGGGAAATGGTGATGATTGGATGTGCGACGTGCTCAGAGTGCATTTCAGTATGGCACTGCGATGTGTTCTCTTCCTCCCCCCCACCAGTCCCTCTACTGATTCTCCTCCTCCCTTCGCAGCTACTTTGCACATGGCACGGCCACTGACTGAATGTACGATGTGCTTCGAGTGTTGTGAGCATGGCTCTGGGGTGCTCTTGCAAATGCTTCATCACACCCTCCACCCCCTTCTCCCTTCCCTATCCGCCCTCCACCACAGGTTCGCCCATGGTACAGGCATTGACTGGATGTATGATGTGCTTCGAGCATTTTCAGGTTCAGCATGGAGAATGGGATGTGTTCTCCTCCTCCCCCTTTCCCTCCTATCTATCCACCGCATGACTTTTGCCCCACAGCACAGCCACTGACTGGATGTACGACTTGCTCTGTACAAGTGCTTTTTAACACGGCTCTGGGCTGCACTTGCAAATTTCCCCTCACACCTTCCAACCTTTCCCCTCCTCCCCTCCCCTGCAGGTACTTCGCCCATGGCACGGCCACTGACTGGATGTATGATGTGCTCCGAGTGTTGTCAGCATAGTTTTAAAATGCCCTCCTTCCCCCAAACCCCCCATCCCCCTCTGCAGCTACTTCGCCCACGGCACGGCCACGGACTGGATGTATGATGTGCTGCGAGTGCCCCTCGCCTTCACATTTGAGGTGAGGGAACCCTTGCAGCTCATGGGCGTTGTTATTCCATGCTTGTTCCCGTCCTCTATTTCGCCCCTTTCCCTGCGTTGTCTCATTCTCTCTTTCTCTATCGCAGTCAACACTGCCCTCATTCTCTCTGTTACAAAGCTTCACCTCCTGTTTCCGATTCACCATCCTTGTTCCGTGTCTTGCTTATATTCTCTCCCTCTGATCCATCGCGACACACTCGCTGACTCCACTTCATCGCCCATCCCCCATCCCCACACACGCACACACCCTGACTGCACTTGGGCCTTCGGCCACATCACATCCCTGCACCCATCCCTTCACCCATCCCTTCACCAATCCCTCCATTTCCTCGGTTATTCACCAGACATTTGGAGATGAAAGTTTCCCCACCTCCGACTGCTTCCCGCTCTTCAACCCCGTCACAACTGATAAGTTCCAGGTACCCACTCCGGCTCCCCTGTGCTATCCCATAGAGTAGTTAGCATGCTCTTTTTGAAAGGTCAGCAATTCTTTTTGCTACTTAACACAGTGCATGGTTCCTGATTCTCACCACTACAGCAGCACTTTCTGCCACAAATTGCGTCACTGCCTTGCTTGGCATGTGCTTTCGCTTCATGCCTATTAGGCATGTCCCTTGCTTTCGCTTCTTTCCCTATGCCTCCTCCAATGAAATGAATGCCTGCAGGAGGTGGTGAACTCATGGACGGCACTCTTCATCGCCTTCCTCGCTCTCCTCCCAGACACACTCCACAAGATTCCCCACCGCTTGCAACCCCCCTTCACCTTCACTCTCCCTCCACCTCCCCCTCCACTTCCTCTTCCAGTTTCACTCACTCCACTCCACCCAACCACACATATGGCCTCTCATCTCGTCTCGCTTTCACGACTGCAGATGCCGCTGCCGCATCTGCACTTTTTGTTGCCTCTTGTCCTCCTTTTAGGCCTCTCTGCTATGGTCCCACGTTTGTTTGCTGTTGCTGTACGGTCAGAACATACACGACGTCGCATAATGCGTCGACTACTACGCAGGCAATGGTGAACATCAGATACCCGTGAACCATTTCTGTGGTAATGATGTACATTATTCATGGCCCTTGCTCTGGCACTGCTTGCTCCTAAAGACTGCCTGCTACTGAAGAAGTTGCACTGTATGCACAGCTAAACAATGCACTGGCCAAAGTAACTGAAGGATGGTTATTGTGCTGCTGTGCATACAGCACCGTAGTTTAGTCCTTGAATTTGCTGTGGCTGTGCAAATGTTTCTGTTTGTTGGTGATTTCATTGCTAATCAGAGCTCGAAGTAAGAGCGTATTCCTATCCTCGTATCAAGAAAACCTTATATCAACCTCCCACTGAAAATTTCCCTAAACCCAAAATCTCTCGCTACTTTTACCAGGCAAAAAGTACAAACTTGATATGAGGTTTTCTTGATACGAGGATAGGAATACGCTCTAATACTCTGCTTCAATCCAATTTACAGAAGCCACCCAATTTACAGAAGCCACCAGCTAGATACATCAAAGGCCAGGAAACTAAACACATGCCTACTGTCCACCACGAAGGCGGAGGACAAGGTGAAGGGTCGACTCCCAGTGACAAGATCTGCATACCACCGCGGAGACGCAGGACCAGATGGAGCGTCGACTCCTTCTGGATGTTGTAATCCGCGAGCGTGCGTCCGTCCTCGAGCTGCTTGCCGGCGAAAATCAGACGCTGCTGGTCAGGGGGGATCCCCTCCTTGTCCTGAATCTTAGCCTTCACGTTGTCGATGGTATCGCTGCTCTCCACCTCGAGGGTAATAGTCTTGCCGGTGAGCGTCTTAACAAAAATTTGCATGCCACCACGGAGACGGAGCACCAGGTGAAGAGTGGACTCCTTCTGAATGTTGTAGTCGGCGAGCGTACGTCCATCCTCCAGCTGCTTGCCGGCGAAAATCAGACGCTGCTGGTCAGGAGGAATACCCTCCTTGTCCTGAATCTTAGGGTGATGGTCTTGCCGGTGAGGGTCTTGACGAAAATTTGCATGCCACCGCGGAGACGGAGAACCAGATGCAGCGTCGACTCCTTCTGGATATTGTAGTCGGCCAAGGTTCTCCCGTCCTCAAGCTGCTTGCCGGCGAAAATCAGGCGCTGCTGGTCGGGAGGAATACCCTCCTTGTCCTGAATCTTGGCCTTCACGTTGTCGATGGTATCGCTGCTTTCGACCTCCAGAGTGATGGTCTTTCCGGTAAGGGTCTTAACGAAGATCTGCATGCCACCACGAAGGCGGAGCACCAAGTGAAGCGTAGACTCCTTTTGGATGTTGTAGTCAGCAAGAGTACGTCCGTCCTCGAGCTGCTTGCCGGCAAAAATCAGACGCTGCTGGTCAGGAGGAATACCCTCCTTGTCCTGAATCTTGGCCTTCACGTTGTCGATGGTATCGCTGCTCTCGACCTCAAGGGTGATGGTCTTGCCGGTGAGAGTCTTAACGAAGATCTGCATGGTGCTTGGCGAGACTTAGCCTATTGAGAGAAAGGAAATAGAGCTCAAGGAGAGAAAGCTGAAAGACGAACTTGAAATTGTACGCAAAGCTCAACTGCTGAGGAATGAAGAACCGAGCAAATATATATTCTACTTAGGGTTGGTTGAGTGAGACCGAAGTTTTGAGTTAGGCGGAAGATTGAGCTAGGCTGAAAATGGTGGGAGTCGGCTCGGGAGACGGTTCGGCATGAAAGCCTGGTCGGAGGTAGAGGGAGGTCGGGAGATTGCAGTACAGGGAGGGAGGGGAAAAGCCCAGATTATCGAGAAACGCGTTCGGAAACTCCAAGAAGCTACCAGGTTTGGACACTTCAACAAGCAAACAGGTCTGGAAACACCAAAACACAACCAGGTATGGACAACCACCTTACCAGGGGGACGTTTCGGACTGAGGCAGGTTTCAAGTTCAATGACATCGTTTTCTCCGCAGCCTGATGGCGGTTTGGTCTGCCTCGGCAAGGCTGCTGGTTTGGTTCGTCTGGTTAGTTGGCGTGGATTCTGCCAGCAGCGAATTGCGAAAGTCATTCGTTGCATTCACGTCACGTCAACGGCGATCGTGCGGTGGTTGCGACTTGAGTGCCACGCGTCGCCATATGGAAACTGGCGTGTGAATGCTGACTGTTGCCTCGCCGTAACTGTTTCGCAGGGCTTGGCGCACGGCATTCCACAAGGCTGGTGCTGTTCCAGAGTCGCGAAATCGGAGGGACACTCTCCAGGCTTCGCCAGGGTCAAATCTGAAAGCTCCGCGAAGGTCGCTTTACTTCGTCAACCGAGGTGTGGCAACCTCAACCACCAATGTTACTTCAACAGTGGACCGGTGCACTAGAAGCCCGAGATGGGTTCAATATAATAATGTTTCAAGATTATGTTCAATTAGCCCACTATGGATATTTGCTATTTTGCATGCCTGGAGAATTACATGATTCAGACTCTGATTGATGTGAACTCTCACTAAAAATAATTAAAATATTAAACTAATGCCTGGTGAAATCGTTCTGCTTCCAAAGAATTTTCATTGCTTCAAGCGAAGAAAGGCTGTTGTAACGTGTATAACACGGCTATTCAAATGCTCAATGTAAACAGATTAGAGGAGGATGATGGTAGCGAGATGAGAGAAGTTCCATAGCAGAGACAGAAAAATGTTCGGTTGTCTGTACCCAACCCGTAGCGTGAGGCCGTGGCGAGGAAGCTCGAGGTCAATCGAATGTCGTTGACGCGGACCGCGACTTCCAACCGGCCAATCGCCGCCAGCCACCGTTAAATTTCAGGTAACCCCTGGCTAGCAAAGTGTCGTGTGACTTCGCGACGGTCTTATTTCGCCGCCTGTGAAATGTTGCATCGCGAAAGCACTGCACCGCTTCCCGCATCGCATGTCGGCTAATGTTGACGCGCTGCCATCCCAGCCCCCCATCCCCCCTAACCCTTGTCAATCATAAATGGCGTTTCGTGCCTCAAATCCTTCATTCAAGTTCATTCGTGCCTCCACAACCCCTCCCACTCATCCAACTTCGATTTCACTCTCTCGACTAACAGCTTTCGCCAGCAGTCCAGCCACGTGTTTCCAGTCTCGTTTTCCACAGCTCCCCCACCCAACAAAGTCTTGGCGACAGTCGAGCGCATATTCACGGAGTATGGCCAGCTCAAGGTTTATTCCAATCTTCGGCCTGCTCTGCATCGTGCTATGCTTCGCCACTGCTCACGCACAAGCGAAGCCCACCAAGGCGCAAATAAAAGCCGAGCTGCAGAACATGGCGAACGCCATTACCAAGAAGTACCCGCAATACGCGAAATACGCCAAGGACATCAACAAGTACATCGGCCTAGCACGTAAGCGCTCTAGATTTACGTTCTTTCCTTAATACCACGATTAGCCTCGACCCATTCTCGTTCTGAACTCCAGCAGAAAGTCACTCAGCCGGACTGATAGATTGCGGCAAGATACCCTCCTAGTAGTGGCTATCACTCTCCTCCCGTCATTTCTGTAGCCGGAAATAACCTTCCGTTTGCGCTGACCGCGAATAAACTCTGCACATGCACTTCTTCGCACCAATCTGTTATACTCTTTCGCGCTCATCCTGAACAGTTATTTTTTTCCTCCTTCCTCCTCTTTTTTCTCCCTCTCTGCTCTCCCCATCTCCAGTGAACTCCAAGTACGATTTCACGGCCCTCAGCGACGCGACCCTCCTACTCCCCAGCGACACGGAGGCCCAGGCCCTCGCTAAGAAGGTCCCCGCTAACAACGCCAACATCCCCAAAATCTACAACATCACCGCGTACCACATCATCCGCAAAAAGTACACCGTTCCCGCGCTCAAGGTTCTCAAGAAATCGCAGCCGCTGGGGACGCAGCTGAAGCAGGCGATGTACAAGGTTTCGGTGCAGAATGGTAACACCATTTCCTTCGCGAAGGCGCCCAACGCCCCGCCTGCCGCGTGGACGACGATCAAGCTCGTGAGGCTGTACGCTGGGCCGTACTTTATCGCCCACGGCGTGGATAAAGTCCTGATTCCCACTTACACGAAGGTGTAATTCTTCAGGTTACCTGAACTTGGCTTGGTCCTCAGTTGACATTCAGTCATGCTGCTGGTTCAACCTCTGAACCAGGGATGACTGGAGGTCAACTGAGCATCGAGGCATATTCTCGAAGGGCTTTGTGATGCAAGTTACTATGTATAGCAGTCAGCTCTGTGTATTACCTTCAGTATAGTCTTATTTCTAGGTATTAAATCATCGAGCAAGGAGTGGTACCAAGACTCCATTCATCAGTGCACGTATTTTAAGGCTTGCTCTCCCCACCATCAAGGGAGTTAGGCAAGAATTCACCTAAACAAGTTAGGTGATCAAGGCAACTACCAGGTGATACGGTACTGGGTTTTGGCATATTCCTTAGGGGCTAGGGGCTCTCGCTCAGTACAAAGGGAAAGAGCTCTTGTAGGCTTCTTTTCTCATTTGTACGTGCATCTGCTCTGCACCACTGTCTTCTCTCCACGGGTTTTGTTGCAGATTTTCAGCCTCACTAAACCAGGTACGGTAACCAGAACGACAGATTTAAAAACTTGGAGTGCGTGGCTTGAGATTTGGGCCGCAGGATTTGAAGAACCAATGCAGCATTTTAAGTGTTTATGCCCACATGACATGCACGAGGTCATAACATGCCCGCATACACATGCATCTCCACTGTGCAACAATCACTTAACTGTAGCTATGCACTTGCATACAGGTGCTTCTTATTACACCGTTCTCAAAACCTTACCACAGAGTGCAAAGTTGTTACCTTCGCGCCCTGCAATAAAGCGTGATCGTATTCCCGCCGTAGCCATAGCCTTGTGCGCTTTGACCACTGAGTCTTCTATCCGCTCATAACGATATACAAAGCTGTAACGCTTGGGGCTTTCATGGTCCCTTGTGAGGTTCAGAAAAGTGACCGTTGGTGCGGGAGCTCCCACGGAGCAGGAAGTCACAAAGCCGACGCGGGGGTTATCTCCTCCCTTGAGATCCACAAGAAGAATTCTAGAGAATTCTAGAGACGATGCTGTACGACGATGCAGAGTACCTGCCAAAGACGGCAAGCGGAGACACTAATTAGTGAGTACTGCCAGTTAATGCACTTCATATGAATGCTTCGGCTAAAAGTACCGGCTTGGATTTGGTGCAAGGCTGCTGAAGTGCACGCGGCGGTTGTTTGTGCGGACGTCTGAAATAGAGGGATGGGAAACTGCTCGCAACACTCACAAATGTCACTGTGACTCCTCAGCACTCGTATCAGCGCCGCCAGTGGCACAAGTGAAGGAGGGGACAGAGGCGTACCTCACTGCCTTGATCATGAATTTCCCCGAAGCTCGTGCGTCACCGACTAATTTCCCGTTGATCCTGGTAGGACGCAGAGTGGCCACGTATTTCACTAGCAAGGGGAATGGGAAGGATTGGGAAGAAGAAGAAAATGTTAATGATTTTGTGTTGACATGCTCATAATAAACGGGAATGCAAAAGATATGAAAAAATCAGGGAAGTGCATAATATAGCACACACATAAACACACACATCAGCTCACACATCAGCACACACATCAGCATACACATCAGCACAGAAATCAGCACGCACATGAGCACACCCATCGACACAAACATCAACAAGCTGCACAGTTTCATGCAGAAGTGATCACGATGATATTTTTCAGGTATACGGTAGCTCCAAACGAGGTTTCGAATCTTTGCAATGTATGTGCACGTCAATTCCGCGCACATGAACGCTGGGTCGTCTGCAGTGTAACGCATCCGCTGCGCCTACATAACACCCTCGTTTCGATCCAGTGGGTAGCGAGGCGTTATAAGCAGTAAGGAGAGTTGTTACTTTAAGTTGTGACAAGGCTCTGATTCGATTGATCCTACACTTACTGATTGTCCTTCCCTTATAAATCAGGGGTCTGGCTTGAGATGCAGACGCGGCCGACGCGGCAGAAGCGGCAGAAGAGTTGGCGAGGTGAGGGAGGAGCGGCGGGAGAAGTGATGTGGCCGACGCGCCGTAGGCAGTGCAGACCGTCGCACCTGCAAAGGAGTCAGGCAGGCAGGCAAAGGCAGGCACGCAGACAGGCACGCAGCACGTTTAGAGACGCGAAGTGGGGCACGAATATTCAACGCTCTGTCGGATCTGCCTCTGTTATCTGATGGAACAGTGTAACCAGCAGCCTCGGCGAAAGTCTCGGCGAAATTGTAAACAGCAGCGCGGTGAAAGTCACGATACGGCGAGATTGAAACCCAGCAGTAGTTAGTTCAAGATTTGAAGGGCTTACAGAGCAGCAGGCGGCAGATTAGAGACAGCGCAGCGCGGCGCTCCATGATGCTGATCTCAAATGCCCCGTCGGCTAGGGTTTCGGCACAACCACTGAACCACTGAAATGCCGACGACCCACCACTGGGTTACGGCTGGAAGTTGCGGACTTCGAGACAATACTTCGTCAAACAGCTTAAGTATGCATCAGCCGCGGAATACTGGGAAACCTTGAAGTTCGAGGCAACATGTCGAAAGTGCCTATTTGTGAGGGGTCGCGAGCGGCCTATCGGATACGTGCGGGAGGAGGAAGTCATTCGTCGCCCATCCAAGTGACGCGTAGGCGATTCGCGGGCCTCTTTAACCAGTCGGCGAGTGACACGTAAGAACTTGGGCGGTGAGCCTAAAGCAGGTGCCACCCGTAAGGAGCCTACAAAACGACGACATGTGCACGAAGGCTGCACGTTGACTAGCTATCAACCGCAATGTCAACGGCACTAGCCGCAAGACGACGGCAGATACCGCAACACGACAGCTTAGTAAGGACATAATACGACTGCATGCAACGGCATATTTCGACTATGGACCCTTGTACTTCACACGCGAATTCGCGCTATTGCTGGTTCAGTATATATACATTCCCAGGAAGAATGCTGCACAGCGTTTAGAAATTACGTCACGTCTAGAGATAAATACTCCTGCCTTCCAAGTTGGTTGCAGAATGTTCATTCAGGGTTTGACGGTGAGGAGATTTCATCTCCAGCTCACTCAATCCCGATCGGAATCGTGAGGCTAGTAAGGTTGTGATGGGCAATATTTTCTTTCCCGACGTACAGACCTGATGCAGAACGCCTTGGCTTAGCACAGGTCGGATCAGATCGGAACGGCTGTCAACCGCTTACCACTGCTCACAACCAATTTGCACCACGGATCACTGCAGCTTTGGTGCACAGCAGTGCGATGTAGTGCACACATCAAGTTGCACGGTTCGAGTCGTTGCATGGAATTTTTGAAAATCTCTGCGCGTTCCTGAGGGGGCTGAAACTCCATGTGTGTTCCTCATGCCTCTTGGTTTGAGTGTGTCGGTGGTCCGATCCGATCCAAGACAGGTCCAGGGGCAGGAAGTGGAGCCTGGCTTCACACAGGAACAACATGGCTTCTGAGGCGCCTCAAAGCCGTCTCGTCGCCCCATGTCTCTCTGTTTGAGAGTGGAGACACAGATACTACCCTGTTTCGCACACAGGTTCAGGGTCAGAGAGTGGCTGGGCAGTGGGCAGTGGGCACACAGGAACAGCAGGTGACACTGTTGTCACAAAACGCAAGAGAATCTAGGTGCCTGACAAAACCGGGTAGCAGTGTAGTCAGAGAATCTAGGTGCCTGAACGCTACAGCTGGCAGAGCTGACGTGTCAATCAGACTACCGGTACTATGCGTATGGGGATGCTGGATCTCCTCACGAGATCCCTCCACAGTATGCCCATACATGCCCATACATGCCCATACATGCCCATACACGCCCATACATGCCCATACATGCCCATACATGCCCATACATGCCCATACAAGCCCATACATGCCCATACATGCCCATACACGCCCATACATGCCCATACATGCCCATACATGCCCATACATGCCCATACATGCCCATACATGCCCATACATGCCCATACATGCACATACATGACCAAGCATGTGCATACATGCCTGTACAGGCCCACAAATGCCCACATGCCCACACATACCACACATGCTCATACATGCTCATACATGCCCATACATGCTCATACATGCCCATACTTGCCAATACATGCCCACACATGGCCATTTCCCCTACATGCCCATCCATGCCCGTGCATCCATGCATTCATGCATCCATGAATTCATGCATCTATGCACTCATGCATTTATTCAAAAGTATGTCCGTACGCGCATGCCAATGTATCAGGACAGCCCGATTCACTGGACTCAGGTGTGAAATCGAATCCATATTGCACCTCCCGCGAAGTTGGTGGCAACATAGATTGTTATTTTCTCTTCCGTCTTCTATTAGGTACCCCCTCAGAATGAGCAAACTCCTCCAACTCCTGCTTCTTGCCACCTTGAACTGATGCTTGCCCTTCAGAAATCTCTCCCCCTCCCTTTTCTCCCTTTTCTCCCTTTCCTCCCTTGTCTCCTCTGCCTGCCTCTCTCCGCTCTTCCTTACCTTCCTTCTCTTCCTTATCTCCATTTTCATCCAAATCCGGCGCTCTAAACCCGAGATCCTTGATAATATCCCAAGCTGCTTCATCAACAGGCGTCACCGATAACCGCGATTGGCGCACCAGCGCGATGTGACTCAATCGCTCGTCCTCCTTAATAGCACGCAGCGTGACCGGGCTTGGGAACGCCTCAACTGTCTCCACGTCCACAATGCCAAATTTCTCCGACTTGTCGCTGGGATCTGGGTAATACTCCTTGCAGATTCGGACAATCCCCATAACTCGACGCTCCTTGCCTGAATAGTCAATAGTGAAGGAATCGGTAATTCAAATTTTATGGAAATGCTGGAAAATCCCCACAATGCTCACAAGACAATGGTACACGCTTGACAACGTGAATCGCTCGAACATAACAACAATTTGTAGAACTAAGGTCAGAACCAGACAATTGTCGGGTCAAGGTCGCCTTGCCGGAGTGGTAAAAGAAGGCGAGGTTCCAAGTCTTCAAGGCTTTGTTGTTCTCCGTTGTTTAGTCGACTATAAGTCATGAATATTGTCAAATCAATCAAACCGCCTTGCATTTTAAGGCGTCACGTTCGCTTCACCTGAGTGGTAGAAAAAGGCGAGGTCGCCGGCCTTCATGGCTTTCATGTTGTTCGCCGCCTGGTGGTTTCGCACGCCGTCCCACGGCTCTACTTTCTTCGCAACCTGATCGTCCCATGACCACGTCTCCGGCTCGGATTTTAATAGCCACTTTGCACACATCACGAGTACTACCCGTGACTCTGACCGGCGGTTGCTGCTGCTACCACTCGTTAAATTCCGACAAAAGTTTGCATTGATAGAAAACAGATTTCTGAACTTGGGAATGAGAAGTGAAAAAGGGTCGACGCCTGAATGTCTCGTTTTGTCCGACAGAGACGCGATTCGAGCGAGGGTGACTGACACGCGAGCGTGCGTGCTGGAGAATACTGCAGAAAGCATGTATGCGGCTCAGCTGTAAAATTGCCAGCTGGCATGACGTCCTGCGATGTCAAGCTTGATCATGGTCGCAACTACGGACACTGGGCCGTACGGACAAGGTGGAAATCTCCGAGTCGCCTAACATACCTCGTTAGTCTATGGACCGGGTCCGTGAGAGCCAAAGGTAATTAGTCCCCACATCAGATCCATGATCTCGCATAACGGGTGGAGAACCGGGAATCACAACGAGATGTTAGACGGTAACTGAGCGAAAAAGCGAAATGGTAACTGAAAGATTCCACAATCAGGGCAGCTTGCTGGATAATCTCACGAACATCTGCGACACACCTGCCAGTGCGGATTTAGAGAGACTCGCTTCAAGATAGGATCTTGGTGCAATCAATCACTGCCGTGCTATTTATCAGCTACTCTAACAATAGCAAAACCCACCAGATTGACAACTGCCCAAAACCTGGTACCATAATCTTATCATGCGCATACATTCTTTACTACCGGTATCTTATGACCATCTAGACACTACTGTGTACCGTACATCAGCACCATTTGCTATCCAAAACCTAGTGAACGAATAAACTGCAACGAGACGAGGTGATGAATGTCAGATCATGAATGATAGTGTGATGGCAGTAGCTACCGAAGGACTGGACCACGACGGTTGCTCTTTGGTGTTCCCTCAACAGAAAGTGGCCTGTCAGAATGCACGATTCGGATAAGACCCCACAAGGCGTAGCATCAGCATGAGGTAGAGGATAATATTATTCTGATTTTTAATCATCCTTGAAAGAGAAGAAAGAATATGCAAGCACTTACATGAGGTGGAGGGCGGAACTAGAAAGAGGAGGGTGTGTGTGAGAACAGGGGGGGGTGAGAGGGATGTACCTGTCTTGCTGCCATCGTCCGGAGAGCTGAGAGGACGGTGCTGGCGCTTCGAAGGCGGTCCTCACAGTAACCTTGCTTGCACTCCCAGCAATAGGTGGTGTGTGCAAGGGTGCCATGACCCCTTCACCTGAGAATGAAAGCACACGGGAGCAATCTGATACACTAGTTTGAGACGCCACATATGGGAGAAAAGAGACAGGAAGTTCTGACATGTGCCAAGACAAGAGAGGGGTTTTTCAAAAATGTGATTGGGGATACAGGTGTTGGGAATGCAGAGGAAGGGGGCAGGCTGGATGGGCTGTACCTGATTGTGGGCCGTCAGGAATCAACGGGGCGTTCTCATCACTGCCAACGCACTTGCCCACGCCACTCCCCCAGCCTCGCTTCTTCGCACTTCCACCAGCAACCCCTCCGTGCCCCACACCCCATCCATGCCCCTTCCCTCTGCTCCACTTCACGCTCCCAGCAGCACCACCGTCCAGCCCGCCTCCACTCGCCTCCACTCCACCTCCACTATACCCCGCACCGTCCGGGCTGAAGGGCAAATTGGTCATCGGCGTGTAAAACTCCTCACCCTCCCCCCCTCCGGTCCCACAGCTCGCAGAAGCAGCAGCACCGCGCCCACTGCACCCAGCTGTCGTGGAAGCATGCACGGCACCACCAGAAGCACCCGCTGCTGCTGCTGCACCCTCATTGCTGGCCCCCACGCCCCTGAACCCGAACGGACTGCGAGTGCCGTCGCGAATCGCCCCCATGCTGTGGATGGCGGATAGCACGCCACCCAGCCGCTGCCGCACCCGCCGTGTCCCTTGAGCTGAATCCGAGGGCCGCTGCTGCCTTGGCTCGCTTGCTGGGGCAGATTCGCCTCTGTCTCCTGCTGCTGCTGCTGCTGCTGGCCGACGGGGTCTGAGAGGAGAGTCGAGAGCCACTGCTTTGGCTGCTGCTGTGAGCTGCATGTGCAGAGAGGTTATCTGAGCGTCCTGGATAATGGGAGAGGGATGGGACAGAAGGGGATACACAATAAGCGGGTTTTACTCCAAGAGTTGGCTGCTGAGTTGTGCTGTGCTGAGTGTGTGTGAGTTGCAGGGGCTGGCTGCATGTATGGTATAAAAAGGGAGAGTCAGGGGTTAACATTCCTGTGCAGACGCATTCCGAACCCCCCATTCCCTTAACGAACAACTAATCGCACAACAAGCCACCAAGAAGCCTCACCTTGGCCTTGACCTCATCTTGAAGCTGCTCCACCCTCCACTCTAGCCCCTGCACCTCAGCACCTTTCCCACCCAGCTGCTGCTGAGCTGCTTTCAGCTGCTGTGACAGCCCCTCCACCTGCTTCATAGCAGCCTCCTGCCGCTGCACTGCCTGCTCCCACCGCGATCTTCCCTGCACCTCCACCTCTGTCACGAGCTTCATCAGCCCCACCACCTCCTTCTCCTTCGCATCCTTCACCCGCTGCAGCCACTCCACCTCCTTCTCCAAACGCCTGCTCAGCTCGCTTCCTTGCCCAGAGCTCGCAGCAGCATCGCCCACTGCAGCCACTGCCACCTGCTGCCGCTTCTCCTCGATTTCCTTCTCCACCTCCACTGCCTCAGCTGCCACACGCACCGTCCTCTCAACCACCTCCCGCCGCCCCGCCTCCTCCTCCGCCCTCTCTCTCACTGCCCCCTCCACTGCCCGCTTCTCCCCCTGCACCCTCTGCAGCGCCCGCCCCACCTCCAAAAACTCCCGGTTCTGCTGCTGGAAAGCCCGTTCTAGCTCGCCCCACTGCGCCTCCCACGCGCCCACCTTGCCCTCCACCTCCTCCACCAGCTTCCTCAGGGCGTACACGCCTCTCAGAACCGACCCGCGCAGCCAGCAGGTGTCGTCGTTTGCCATGAGGGCATCGAATCCTGCTCGCACCAGCTGCTGTGTGATTCTGACCTGCTTGGACACCACAGCTGGAGGGGGAAGGGTCAGACCTTCGCTGGGACTGGCAATAGCTCGTTCTGCCTCCTCGTTCGCCAGATTCCTTGATTTTCTCTCATGCTCGTTCTGCCCTGGCTTGCTGCGTTCCTCAGCCTTCACGCCCAGGAACCCCAGCAGCAGCACCCTTTGCCTCTGCAGCGCGTTCAGCACCTCCTCCACTTGCTCTGCTCCCACGCCTTGCTCTTCTCCTTGCTCTGCTCCCGTTTCTTCCTCTCCTTCCGCTTCCTGTCCTGTCCCTTCCTCCTTCCGTGAACCGCTCACTCCCGCCTTCCCCTTTCCATCCACCCCCGCTGGCTTGCCCTCTCCCTCGCCTGCGCCAGCACCTGAGCCTCCCTCTTCCAGCGAACCACCTTCCCCTTCTATCCCTCCTGCCCCCACCATCTCTCCTGTCCCCAGATTTGATCCCAGCAGCTTGGTTTCCATGCGGGAGGAGAGGCCAGCAAGCCCAGCCCGGCACAGCACCACGGCCAACAGACTCTCCACCAGCACCACCTGCGCCAACACCCCCCGCACCTCCTCCACCTGCACGCGCCTCTGCTCCGGCCCCATATCCACACCCATCTCACCAGCCTCTGCACCGCATTCCACCCCTCCCTGCCGACATCCCTGCTCCGCATGCTCCTGTTCTCCCTTGCCTTCCTGGTCCTCTACCCCGTTCTGGTTCAGGTGCAAGTCCAGCTCTCCCTGCTCCTGCTCCAGCTGCCGCCACCTCGCCTTCCACCCCTCCACGATTTCGTCCCCACCTCCTGCTCCCATCCTCCCTCTGCCTGCAACCCCTGCGTCTCCAACCCCAGAGCCTCCAACCCCTCCATCTCCAGCCCCCACATCCCTCAGCAGCGGGCTCACCAGCAGCTTCTGCAATGCTCTCTCCCGGGCCATTACTGCAGCAACACGTGCGTGCATCTCGCTGCATCGTTGTTCCGCCAGAGCAGCGCGGTTCATCGTGCCCTTTGTTTGCTCCTCTGCAGCAGCCAGACGCGCCAACAGCTCCTGCACTTGCCCAACCAGCCGCTGCTGCTCATCCGCCTGCTGCCCATCTCCCTTCTTCGCATGCTCCTGCTGCCCATCTCCCTTCTTCGCATGCTCCTGCTGTCCATCCACGTGCTGTGGCCCATTCTCAGCCTTCACGCCCAACCCACCGCCCTGTATCTCCTCCTTTTTGCTCTTACTCACAGCCCTCACAGCCCTCGCCTTGCTGCTGCCCACCCCCTTAGCTTCAGCCTGCAACCTCTCGCACTGCTGCTCCAGCGCCCTCACCTTCTCTGCCAGCTGCCTGTTCCTGCTCTCCACCTCCTCCACATGCTCCCTCACAACAGCCAGCGCTTCATCCACGTCAGCCATGAGCTCCTCATCCCCATCCTCCACGTCAGCAGTAACCTCCACCTCAGCTCTGCTCTCCGCCTTAGCCTCACCCCCACCTTTCTCCCCATCAGCTCCATGCTCTACCGTAACCTTACTCTCAAGGCATCCACCCGTAACTGCTGCTGCTCTCCCCGTTACCTGCTGCTCCAGCCTACGACTCAGCCGAGCCAACTTGCTCCGCAGCCTCGCCCGCTCCTCCTCCATCTCACCCATCTCTCCCCTAGCCGCTTCCAGCCTCGCCTTCACCGCAGTCAACTCCTCAAAAAGCACCACGTTCCTCGGCCCGACCACCATCAGCCGCTCTAAATACACATCCCTGTCCTTCCTCAACCTATCCCTCTCCTCCCTCAACCTATCCCTCTGCTCCTCCAGCTGCAGATACATCAACCCAACCTCCTCCTTCTCATCCTCCTCCGCCTGCTCCCTCTCCGCTTCCCTCTCCAGCGTACTCAGCAGCGCCAACTCCAGCGCCTGGCCTTTCGCCCTCAGCTGCTGCATCACCTCCCGCATCCTCACCATAAGCGGACCCGCCTTCTGCATCCGACCGGACAGGCTCTTCACCTCGGCGTGCGCAGCAGCGAGCTGCTTCACCATGTGCCGCACCTGCGCCTCCATCAGCCTCAGCTTCTCCGCCTGCGCCTCTGCTTGGCTCACTGGCGCGCTCCTCCGCCGCTTCTTCTTCTCCAGCCGTCGCCCCAGCGCAACCTGGGTGCCTCCCTCCCCGCCTGCGTGCCCTCCCGCCGCCCCAGTGATTGCATATCTGAGCAGGTCGCTGTCAGAGTCTACGCTGGCTGAAACGTTGTCTCCAGCAAAGGGCAGAGTCCACCTGTTTGCAAGAAACGCGTTGGCAGAAGCAGAGGCAGGTAGCGCAGGCATGTCTGCTGCAGAGCCGCCGAGGAGGAGAACTGGGCTGGGGGCAGACCCAGCCCCTCCTGCGTGCGAACCAGCTCCTTTCCCCTTTGCGTCTCCTGCACTGCTGCCTTTATCTGCTCCTCGCGAAGGGCTTGCCCTGTTGGTCACGTCACGGAGCTCAGTAAGGCACAGAGTCATCGGACTGAGAACGCCCTCCTCCTCCTCCGCACCTGCCTCCCCTGCTTCCACATCACCCTTCACAGTCTCTTGCCACCTCCTCTTGCTTCCGCTGCCTCCTCCCTCACGCCTCTCCTGCTGCTCCTTCTGCTGCTGTTCCTCTTCCGTTTCCTTCTCCAGCATTATAGCCTCCTCCAGCAGACCCACTCTCTCCTGCTCCAGTCGCTCCACCCGTTCCTTCGCCTCCTGCAGACCCTGCAGCGCCGAGCACAGCTGCTCCTCCAGCGCCAGGTTCACCTGCTGCAGCTTGCGCCCCCCAGCAGCAAACTCCTCCGCCTCCCTCCTTGCCCTCTCCGCCACCTCCTCTGCCCGCCTCTGCCTCTCGCAAGCAGCCTCCAGCAGCCCGTCCCGGTCGCCCACCTTCTCTGCCAGGTCAATCACGCGCTCCCTCTCCGTCTTCAGCTCCTCCTCCAGCTTCGCTATCCTCTCGCCCAGCTCCGACCGCTTCTTTGCATTGTCTGAACCATCAGCGCCGTCAGCATCACCGTCCGCCCCGCTCTTCCCTGCGCCTTGCTCTGCTGCAGCCCACAGCAGCTCCCGCTCCTTCTCCAGCGCCTGCACCTTCTCCTCCAGCTCTGCCTGCTTGCTCTTCATACCCTCAATCGCCTCTTCTAACACCCTCTTCTGCTCTTCAAACTCCCTCAACTTCTCCTTCCCATCATCTTCCATCTCCACTTGCTTCCTCTTAATCTCCTCAAGCTCCTCCTCCAACACCCTCTTCTGCTCTGCCATCTCCCCCTCCTTCTCTTTCCCAGCATCCTCCATTTCCACCACCTTTCGATTCATCCCCTCAAGCTCCTCCTCCAAAGCCCTCTTCTGCTCTTCCAGCTCCCGCACCTTCGCCCTCCCAGCCTCTTCCGCCTCCACCTGCGCTCTCCTCATCTCCTCCACAGCCTCCTCCAACGCCTTTCTCTCTTCTCCCCACGCCCTCTCCTTCGCCTTCCCTGCAGCTGCTGCATCTGCCGCCTCTCCCTCAGCCCGTGCCTTCTCCTCCACCAACCCCTCCACCTGCTTCCGCAGAACTTCCACATCAGCCCGCAGCTGTGCTGCGTCAGCTGCACTCCTCTCGCCCTCTGCCACGCTCCTCGCCAGCTCGGCCCGGCACGCCTGCAGGTCCCGAGCGAGGGCGGCGCTCTGAGCGTGGTGCTCCGCGGCCTCCACCTTGAGGACTGATTCCGCCTGCTGGGTGGCCGCCAGCTGCTGCAGCAGCTTGCCCACCTTCGCCTCCGCCACTCCACACCGCACGCGCGCCTGGGAACACAGAGAGGCAGGGATGCACATGGATGCGTTACAGTGAGGATTGCAGAGAGGAACGCAGTGAAGTGATTCGAGATTATGGTTGAATGAGAGTTTGAAAGAGTACGGTTTTGTTGAAAAAATCACCAGAAAGGGAACCAGTGACGTGGATGCAAACTGTCATAACATCAATGAAGATCAGATGTTGAAGGGACAGTGATGCTCAGATCACAGAGCTGGCACTCGCGTCATCAGATTGCCTCTCACGTCGTCAAACTCGTGCTTGCGGTCGTTGACGCTGCGCTGAAGCTGCCGTGTGTTGTTCACCTCCATGCGGTACTGCTCCGCCACCGCCGCCACCTTCTTCACCTGCCATGTGCCATGCCATGCCATGCCATGCCATGCCAGTCAGTCACAGTGTGCAACAAGGAAGAGTCAGTCAGGCAGGTGAGCTTTAACTTGGAACCACATGTTGTTCACTAACTGCTGGTTGTGCGCTGCCGCAGCCGCCATGCCATGCCAGCAAGTAGTTTGCGAGTGCCAGCTCACAGAAAAGAGAGACGAGTGAGACCAACGAAACGAACTACACATGCACAGTCATCCTCCCACTCACATGCCTCCTCCTCCTCCCCGCCCACATCCCTCCCCACCCACATCCCTCCCAACCCTCCGCCCCACTCAGATCCCACCCACCCTCCTTCCCACTCACATGCTCCTCCATGCCAACGAGCTTGGCTCGCAGCTCCTCCCTCTCCCGCCGCCCCTCCCCCTCCTTGCCGCGCAGCGCCTCATTCTCATCAAACGCCTCCTTGAGCTCCTCCCTCAGGGCGTTGTTCAGCCGCTCCAGGGCGGCCACCTTGTCCCCCTCGCTCGTGCCCGCCTGCAGCTGCTCCTCCAACTCGCTGATGCGCGCTGCAAAGGGAGAGGGAGGAATTTCATTGGAAAGTGTGAGTGCGTTGAGTGAACTATCCTTTAATACACGAACTATGTTCAACTGAGTGAAACCAGACAGACACCATGTCTCACAGAACGCACCTTTGCACACGTCGACTTCGAGCTGGAAGCGGATGGCGTCGGGGTTCCTCTCCACCATGCGCCTCAGCACCTCCACCTCCTGCGCCAGCTCCTCCACTGCTGCCGCGTCCTCCCCCCGCGCACACTGCCCCTCGCACCTCCCCTGCGCCTCCACCCGCTTGATCCTGTCGTCCCGCAGCTTCACCACCATCTTCAACCCCTGTGGAACCACGCAGCACCACACAGCACCGATCATGCCAGGCATGCAAGTCATGCCAGGCATGCAAGTCAAGCCAATCATTCAAACCAAGGATACACAATCGTCAGGCACAAAAAGATGCAGCACACAGTAAGCTCATGTTCTTCACTGGGAGAACGGAGACGGTTAACCAAAACGTGCACCTGCATGCACGCTCAGGCACCTGCATGCACGCTCAGGCATCTGCATGCACGCTCCCCTCACAAGGTCCGGTCCGCCAAGACCACAGTACCTCACACCTTGCGCGCAACAAACATGAGCGAGAGAGCCAATACGTGACAGCATCTGCCAGCGGCGGCCAATCACCTCCTCACTTGACAGCTTGAATCTTCTCATCTATCTGTCACTCGTTCTCACCTGCACAGTCCTCACGAGCCCTTCCGCCACGGCCTCAGCGGCCTCGGCTCTCTTGCTCTGCCTCGCCACCTCCTGCCCCGCCTGCCTCTCCGCCTCCAGTGCTCGCTTCGTGGACTGCGAGATGATCTGCTCCAGGCGGCAGATGCGCTCGTTCTCTGCGTGGGGTGGTGGAGAGAGGCAAGAGCAGGTACACACAGGAGCGTGTTTGGGAACATTGCGCTATGAAAGCACGACAGAGAAAACCTTCAGAAAGATTCACAGCCCGCCAAACAAGACCCCAGGCTTCAAGGCAGGAACTACAAACAGATTGGGTTTACTGAACTCTACCTGACATGGGCGCAGGAGAAGGGCTGGGTGGGAGCAGCGGCTGCCCAGGCACTCCGGCTGTCGCATTAGCTGCAACACAACAAGAAAAGCCGGGGGTCAGTCTCCTCACACCATCAGATTCCAGTAAGAAGTCAAAACCCATTCCAAACGGATCCAAACATCACTTTCCCCACAAAACATTCAGAACCCAATTCCTTCCCTCTCCCTCCCTCACAGCGTGCATACCTCTAAGCTCGGCGATCTCGAGGCGCAGGCGGCGGATCTCCTCGCCCATGACGGCGGGGTTGCCCATCATCAGCTCGTTCACGACCGCCTCGTTGTGCATGAGCTTCGCCCGCTGCGCAAACTTGAGCGTCGACATCGTTTCATCCACGTTGCGCTCCGCAGGACTCACAGCCGCCAGCAGAGTGCACTTGGAATTGCCACCAAGTGAGCCCTGAAAAGAAATAGGGATAAAAAAACAGGAATAAAAAACAGAATCGGAATTCACCAACGAAAATAATCACAAGGTTGAAGCAAAATGCTGAATTTCATTCTATGGAATGGACAATGTCAAGCTGAGGAGCTTCTTACACTTAGAAGAAAGGTGAGCTTCGAGTCTCGATAGGGCACGTGGCGAACCTTCCCCTCTGCGATGTCAACCAAGGCCTGCGAAGAATCACACAATGTCAGACTCCGAAGTTCACAACACCGGACCCGTAGCAAAATCTGCCACTCAAACCCTTCAAATCTGCCACTCGGAATACGCGTTTCCTTACCTTGATGACATTCCCCAACGCAGAAAGTGACTTGTTGATGCTCCCGGCCTCCTTCAGCCGCGCCCCCTGTGCCTCGCTGTGCTTCTGCCTCTCCGACCCCGCCAAGTCCACCAGGTTGAAGCGTGAGGTCCTCCTCTTCATCACCCCTGCCTCGTCCCTCCGCTGCAGCCCAGCAAGACACACAGGAAGGGAAGTTCAGCGTGAGATGAGAAGCGTGAGATCAGGAAGCACCAAAACTGGTGGCGTCATGGAAGGAGAAAAAACGGCAGAAGCGAGTGTGATTATCAGAATCTGAGAAGCGGATTTAAAAAACGGTGCTGTACCTGAGTTTCCACCACAATAGTGAACACGCTGTGAGAGCGGCTGCTCTCCATGTTCATGGCGGTCTGGCCCACGCGTCGGTTCTGCGAGCCGCGCTTGAACAGCGCATAGGTGGCGTCGGCGGTGGAAACCACCACCTCCTGCAGGCCCTCCACGAACATCCCGTGCCTCAGGTCCTCCCTCACATCTGCCACACCACACGCATGACAACAGATTTATGATAACATTATCAACTTAAATTATGGATTGCATCCGACACATGGAAGCAGATGCATGACAGATGATGCATGACAGCGCATGAAAATGGACGGATGCACGAAATAAACAAAGGTTAACCTAATCACGCATCAGCACAAAAATATCTATGAGCAGACAGTTAGGTGCATGATCAACTGAACGTGACTATAGTTTCATGGTAGAGCAGTAAGGTCTTACTCAGGTTCACGGAATCTGGCTCGAGGAGGTCTGACACCTGGTCATTGTAAATCTGCAGGTAGGAGCAGCGGATGGTGAACTCTAGCATCTGCAGCTCCTGCACGCACAGACGCAACATATTTGTTTCCGCAACACAGATGCATGTGAGATTGAATGACGTCAAGTGGTATGTAGACAACGAAGAAAGGAAAAACCAGCAACATATTTGTTTCCGCAAAAAGGCAGAAAGGCAGAAAGGCAGAAAGGGTCATACCTTGTCAGCTGACAGTCTCTGGAAGATGTACTGCAGAATCCGTGGAATAAGGCCGCGTTTGTCCACGCTTCGCTGGGATCCTTCCCCTTCGCTGTCCCAATCCGGTCCTGCGAAAGCCAAAGAAGAACAAAACATTAGACTTGCCGTACTCTGAGATTAACGAAGCATCAAATATGTCGAAATGATACGCAATGTCCGCCTTACCCTCCATCGTAAAGGTCTTGCCGGCGCCAGTTTGCCCTGCGAATCAACAATGATCGAGTGATGATTTCAGCAAATGAAACCACAGCGAAGGCTTATGAAACTACAGAATTTCAGTTGTTCCCGTACCATACGCAAGAAGGCAGCAATGGTAACCTTCCAAACATGCATCCGTGATAGGCTTTCCGATTGTCGTGAAGATGTCCTCCTGCAAACAGAAAAACAAAAACAAATATACAAGACAGACAAAACGAACGTCAGTTCGTTTTAAACACTCGGGTCAATCAGTCACTAGGCTGACTTATCAGATGCTTAAGGAATCATTGATAACCACGAATATAATAATCGTTAGCTGCTGTCACCTGCTGCGTCTCTTCGTCCGCTATATAATCGAAAGAGAAAGGCTTCGATGGAGGCCTTGTCGAGAGATGCAGCAGCTTTGAGCTGGGATCGACTGTTATGCATTTGTGGTAGCCTAAATCGTTTTCCCGCTCGTTCGGGGGTCGTACTCGCACAACCACTTGCACGTTCGAATTCGCTCTCGCGACGGCACCCGGATCTGGGTCTAACGAGCTATGACGTTCGATCACCATGATGTCTTAATAATAAGGGTCTGAACTGGTAGAAGCGCTGCAAGTAATGGAATGGATCGGTTCGGAAAATCGACGGATGCTGCACGCAAGAGAGGAGCTTGACGTGTAGTAATAAACGGCCAATAGTGATTTAACTTAGAAGCAACAAGTCTAGCCGATCGAGTTCAGGCGCTGCGATAGTGAATACGCTACAAACAACGACGCTGCGTGGCTCCTAAGTCGATGACCTAAATTACTAGACCATACAATGATAAGCACAGGGCTCAGCGAGCAGTAATCCGTGAATGAAACAGGACAGAACGTCGTGAAATCTTCAGGCTGGGCTTCCCTGAAAGGAGATTCGCTGCCTGAAAGGAGACGAGACCTACCCATTCAGGCAGTGAAACCTCGGCAGTTTGGATGCAGAAATGCAACCAGGCGTTCCGCACATTCATTAACCAACGCACTTTCCACGGTTCGGTTCGGTTGTATCTGGTTCGAGGCGAAGAAAATTTGCGAATCACTACATACCCTGTGGAAACTCACTGAACCGCACCGGAGATCATTGATTAGGTTGGACAACCAACCAATCAGGACAGCGTGGCACTGGGAGGATAAGAGCAGAGTTCGAATTTGGGTTCACTGACAACGGAGTATTGCAGATTGGCGGGAACGTCTCGGACAGCAGAGAGTTTGAACAGCGCAACCTGACAGCGAAGGCGGGATACGTTTTCTAAGCAACGGCAAGGAACCACAGAATAGGTACACCTGGAAGATACTGGGAAATTATACCCACCAGTAAACAGAATAGGTACACTAGCTTATTCAAGTATGACGATATAAGATTGGTTGAAAAGGGTGCAAACAAACAAACATGGAAGAACGTCTCCACCTCCACCTACCCATGTACATTGGTGCTTCTGTCTTGGCTAGTGCGCTCCGCCGGACATCAAAATATCCAACTCTTTTCAATTCCCTGTGCAGACCAACTCCTGGGACCCGGGTAGAAATGAAAGAACAAGTAGAAATCAAAGCATACTCGCAAAGAAACCCCAGCAGCCCATGCACACCCAGGCAGAAGCCCATGCACACCCAGGCAGCAGCCCATGCACAAAGCATATCGCACATGCCAAGGCATGCCATGTCAGTCTCCTCCATTCTTCCCCCCTCCCCCTACTCGGCCTGTTGTTTACACTTCCTCAACCTCAGCTTGCTTCCTTCTCCTCTATTCTCCCCCTCGTCCTTCCTCCTCTTCGTCCTTCCTCCTCCCCCTCCTCCTCCTTCTTCCTCCCCCTCATCCTTCCTCCCCTTCTCCCTTGAAACACCTTCACAAAGCACCGCTGACCATGGCTCCTTGATAGGTTCTCCCCTTTCAGCCTTCTCCACTTCAACTATGAAAGCCCCCCACGTCTGCGTTTCAAGGGCTTTAAGTGCCTGCTCTTCCTTAACCAAACCCAGCTGTTCCATGAGAGGGTCTCCAAGAAAGCTTTCACACTGCTTCCAAACATCCTGCAACCTTCCCCACCCACACACCGCCACTTGATGCCTCCATGTAAAGACAAACTTTGCGCAGAGAACTAAGTTCCTGGCAACAGCAAATGACTGCACCGTGTCATCATTCCACGTCCCAAGGCGTTGGGTGCTCTCAATTCCACGTCTGAAGGAGGCAAGTGTCCTCCCGTTCATGGCACGAGTGACATTAGCAAACTCCCACCCACCCAGCAGCTTCTCAGCTTTGTTCAACTTGCTCCAGATTTTGCACATTATCTCTGGCCGCTGCTGCTGCCCATCCCCTTGCCGGCAATCCCTGATCAACTGCCCCATCTCCTGCAGAAAGCATGAAGATGCACCCGCCAGGTTGGAGGTCCGTTTGCCGACTCCTGCCCATCAGCTTCATGCGTCAACCGGCGGTGCCCATCGACTATGTCACAACAGCTGCCGCTGCCGCTGCCTCCTTCCATCGGTGCATCAGCACTCTGGTCCTCAACTGCCGGCTCGCCTGCAGATAAAGGGTATTGGAGAAAAGAGATTTGAAACGTGTCAAATGTCTTGCCTGCTGATACCAACATGTTCCCTGCTGATAGAGGGTATTGGCGAAGCTGAAACTGAATCTTCCCACTCCCCTCCCCCCCCCTTCTCTACACAAACAAACTCACCAGTTGAGTCTAGCAGGTCCTGTAATCTCCTCAGCTCCTCGCAATCGCTCTGGTATTTCCAATCCTGGCCAAACGATGCCATAAGGCACTTCACCCCTTTGATGCTCTCCTTGAGTTGATTCACAACCGTGATAGGAGGGAGGCCGACCGTTGCAAGGGCAAGCGACGCGACTGCGCTCTCCACAGCAGCAGCAGGGGCAGCAGGAGCAGCAGGGGCAGCAGGAGCAGTAGGGGCAGCAGGAGCAGCAGGGGCAGCAGGAGCAGCAGGAGCAGCAGGAGGGGCAGCAGGAGGGGCAGTTGCAGCAGCAGGGGCAGCAGGAGCATTTGCGGCAGTAGGGGCAGCAGGAGCAGAAGCAGCAGCAGGAGATATATAGCAGCAGGAGGAGGTGCAACAGCAGCAGGAGGAGGTGTAACAGCAGCAGGAGGAGGTGCAACATCAGCAGGAGGAGGTGTAACAGCAGCAGGAGGAGGTGCAACAACAGCAGAAGGAGGTGTAACAGCAGCAGGAGGAGGTGCAACAGCAGCAGGATGAGGTGTAACAGCAGCAGGAGGAGGTGCAACAGCAGCAGGAGGAGGTGTAACAGCAGCAGGAGGAGGTGTAACAGCAGTAGGAGGAGGTGTAACAGCAGCAGCAATAGCAGTAGGAGTGGCAGCAGCAGCAACAGCAGCAGCAGTGGCAGCAGCAACAGCAGCAGCAGTGGCAGCAGCAACAACAACAGCAGCATGAGTGGCAGCAGCAGCAGAGCCTGTTAACGGGAGTGGAGTGTTGGCCCCGCCCTCGCTTGGGAAACGCCGACGACTTGGTCGGATATACGGGAGTAGCAACTGACCGTTCACAGTCGGAGAGCTGCTCGATAGGCTTCGTCGAGCTGCAGGGGACCGCTGTGGTGTTGCTGTCGACCAGGGAGCTCGACAGTTGCAACTGACTGGTCTGGGCAACGGGTGGGCCGTCGACCAGGACCTGCAGTTCGACCGGGAGGTCGACGGAGCAGTCCGTCGACCTGACAAGTGAGCAGCGGTCGACGAGGGGAGCTCGGCGACAACAGCTGATAGTTCTGGTTGACGGAAGGGGTCCGTCGACCAGGGGATAGCTCGACGGGAGCTGTGGTCGACCAGGGGCACCTGGTGGTCGACCAGAGGGACCTGGTGGTCGACCAGAGGGACCCGGTGGTCGACCAGAGGCACTTGGTGGTCGAGCAGGTCGACCAGGTAACCTGCTCGACGAGTTCTGCGGAGGCACGCGAACGTCGTCGAGGTCGCGATGGCGAAGGCGACTTCGGGCTGGTATCCCGAAGTCGATGTGGCTCGTCAGGCGCAGACAACAGCCGACGGATGCACTGCAATGCAAGTCGGGCCAATCGTCTGCGCGCACCTGCGAGCGTGCGCACTGCTGTCTTCTACGGGGCAACGCTGGACAGCCGCTTTGCTGCAGCGTTGGCACGCCGTCGACCTGCAGTGTTGGCAGGTCGCTCTTCTACAGTGTTGGCGCGGCTCTTCTATGCAACGCTGGCAGGCGGTCGACCAAGCTGTGCTGGCGGTCGACCAGGCTAGCTGCAGGGTTGCTAGGTGCCTGATGTAGTCATTTCTGTCATTGCTTGTTCAATGATTCTGTAATTTCGACTTTGCTAGTGAAAACTCTTGCCGATTTCTCCCGTGATTGTGCAAGCACTAAGGAACTAGGCAAAGCTACGATCACTCCTAGTAGTTCGTGCCAACCCCCGTAGTCTAGCTCATTACCGTTGTAGAGTGAATCTTTGCAGAGCCAACCTCCAGGAATCCTATCATATGACGCAGTTGACCTGTAAAAATGCACCTGCTCCTTCTCCAGCCTTAGCTCTTCCTTCTGCCATGCCAGTGCCCTCACATTCTCTCTCCTAAGATTTTCAATCTTTCCTTTCAACTCCTCAACCACCTCCTCCTAAGGCGCCATACGTTTTATAAGCAACGACAAGGCATGACGGAAAAGATGCACCTTGAAGTTACTTGAAAAATTTCCCACCAGTAAACAGAATAGGTGCACTAGCTTATTCCATGTTTGAATGAAGACATAAATCTGCTCTAAATTATGTGAACTGGGGTCTCATTAGCAGGAATACGGAATACAAACAAGATACCAGATAAAAATGTGTGTAGTACCGACTTGCGATCTAATTGAATATTGTCGGTGTATATGTTGTAAAAGGGTTTCAATTCTGCATCAGAGAGTCCATCCAGATGGAGGGTGCTTGATGACTACATGCACGTCATCGTTTTGAGTAATTCAGAATAACCTGACTCAACGAAGGAGGTGACAAACACTTCGGCACTGCCAACAGCGATTTTGATTAGGCATTTTGTTGCAAGAGGCCCATGAGGGGTTGGGAGGCGCGGGAAAGGACACGGAAGAGGCTGAAAGAGAATGGTATTGGGAGAGGGACAAGGGCGGAGGGGGATGGGAACAGGGGCAATGAGGAGACAAAAGTTTTCCAGTGTTAGCATACACAAAGCATGCAACCAAGAGGGGCGTGCAGGATGGTAAGGGAGGGAAAGATGGTGCGTGCTGCTAAAAATGGCAGCGTACTCTTTGCTGAGCATAATTCGCATTCTTGAGAGAAAGAGGGTAAGAGAGAGCAGGAAAGAGCAGGAGGGATGAAGGGAAATGGAAATCGTTGGCAAAGGACGATGAGAGGAGAAGGAAGAGGAGATGATGGATTATGCAGGGCAAACGTGAGGCTGGTATGGGTGGTACATCCACAGTCCTTATAGAACAAGATAATACAACAGCTTAGGTGCATGTGACACAAGGCAGAGGCGCATGTTGCAACAGTGCTGGTGCATGTGACAAAAGGCAGAGGCGCATGTTGCAACAGTGGTGGTGCATGTGACACAAGGCAGAGGCGCATGTTGCATTAGTGTGGTGCATGTGACACAAGATATCCAGTCTATGACGTGCTGGATTTCATGCAATGTCAGTTGTCTGCACAGGATTGGCTAAGGAGGGAAGTGAAAACGTTTCGGAAGGACACAGGGGAGGATGAGATGAGATGAGATGAGGTGAGGTGAGTTAAGGTGGTGAGGTGGGGTGGGGTGGGGTGAGGTGAGGTGAGGTGAGGTGAGGTGAGGTGAGGTGAGGTGAGGTGAGGTGAGGTGAGATGGGATGGATGGGATGGGATGGGGTGGGGTGGGGTGGGGTGGGGTGGGGTGGGATGTGTGGGATGGGATGGGAATTGATGAGATGAGATGAGATGAGATGAGATGAGATGAGATGAGATGAGATGAGATGAGATGAGATGAGATGTGGGGTAAGGTGCAGTGAGGTGAGGTGGGGTGAGGTGATGTGATGAGATGGTATGGGATGGGATGAGACGAGTTGGGATGGGATGGGATGGGATGGGATGGGATGGGATGGGATGGGATGGGATGGGATGGGATGGGATGGGATGGGATGGGATGGGATGGGATGGGATGGGATGGGATGGGATGGATGGGATGGGATAGGATGGGATGGGATGGGATGGGATGGGATGGGATAGGATGTGATGGATCTGAATGGGATGAGATGAGTTGAGAGGAGATGGAGTGAGGTGAGGTGAGGCGAGTTGGGGCGAGGTGGAGGTTGAGGTGGGATGGGGTGGGATGGGATGGGGTGGGATAGGATGGGATGTGATGAGACAAGATGAGGTGAGATGGATGAGAACAGTAGTGCGTAGGTTAGCAATTCAAAAGATAGAAGCAATGAATGAGAATAGATTAGTGACGACAGTGGGCAGGTTAGCGGTGAGCAAGGAAAAAACACAAATAATAGTCAGTGGATTACCAATGCGTGAGAAAGCTACTGCACAATTTGCCACTCTCCAAAAGAAAACAAAAAGGTATGGGTGCATGTGGAAGTTTGAGTGTTGAAATGCATGTGTGAATATGGACTTGCATGTGTGCACATGACGATACGAGAGTGGACATGTGTGCACCTGATTGCGTGTGGAAACAGGAAAGCATTGACAACAAGCCCCAGCCTTCTTGTCAATGGTGCAATCACAGAAGTAATGGATACTTGAACAAGGAAACAAGTTGTTGCTTCTATGGCATGTGCAAGCACATGCAACCAAGCAGGACCCGAGAGGAAAATGAGGGAGGCAAAGATTTTGAGTCTCGGATTTTGAGTCTGAAATCAAATTGTGCGCTTGGATTTTGAAACCTGCAAATAAGCAGTGACGTGGGAAGGATGTGCCTTACCACAGCCTGGTCACAGGCACATCCTTCCCAAGCCATGACTTGAGAACCTTAGCAGGTGGGAGCTCCAACCATTCGCAATCACCTAGGAGGGGCAAGAGAGCAAGGAGGAGATTGGAGCAGCAGAGTGAGCGATCCCTAAAATGGAGAACGGAAAGCGGATGAAAACAGGAGTCGAGAACAGGTGTGCCTCGAGACGCATTCGTTTATGGAATTTTCATCTTGATGCATGCATGTGGAAGCACAACACGCAGCAGTGACAATGTAGCATGTTGTAAGGGTGCTAGAAACAGTAGTAGACGCAACAGCAGTCGCGACAACAGCAAGACCGGGGACGTACAGGGGGGATGATTGCCGACCTATTGCCTCTCCCTGATTTGCTCTTCTTCCTTTCTCATTGCTCCTGCCTGCTGCAAATAAGTCCCTTCACCATTTGATTCCATCTTTCCCCGTTGGTGCAGACAAGCGGGGACAAATCAGCAATTGCACTCGAAAAAGGAGGGATACAAACAAACAGACCAGCTAGGACCACCCTATCCAGGCTGCCTATGTACATTGGCGCTTCTGCCTAGGCTAGAGATGACGTTTGAGTCGACTCAAATGTCACCCAGCTAGGACCACCCTATCCAGGCTGCCTATGTACATTGGCGCTTCTGCCTAGGCTAGAGAGCTCCGACGGACATGGCACAGGGCATCAGCTTTTCAACTATTTTTAACGCCCTCAACCACCAACTCCCAACTATAAACGAAAGTTAAAAATCGAAATCAAAGCACACATACAAGCAAAACCTTACCCAGCAGCAACCCACGTCAGTCTCCTCCCATTGTTCCTCCTCCTCTGCTTGCTTCCTTCTCCTCGATTCTCCCCCTCGTCCCTCCTCCTCTTCATACTTCCTTCTCCCCCTCCGGGTCCTTCCTCCTCCCCCTCATCCTCCCTCCCCTTCTTCCTTGAAACACCTTCACAAGACACCACTGACCATGGCTCCTCGATCAGTCCTCCCATTTCAGCCTTCTCAACCTCATCTATGAAAGCCCCCCACGACTCCGTTCTAAGGGCTTTCAACGCCTGCTCTTCCCCAACCGTTACCAACTTCTCCATTAGTGGCTCTCCAAGAAAGCGTTCGCACTGCCTCCAAAAATCCGGCCACCTCCCCTTCACACCACCCTCCACATGTTCCCTCTGCAAAGAAATATTCTGCGCAGAGAACTAGTTTCCTGGCAGCAGCAAATGACTGCGCCGTGTCATCATTCCATCTCCCGAGGCAGTGCCTACCCTCAACTCCACGTTTGAAGTAGGCTCGGGTCTTCCCACCCTTGGTGCGAGTGACATTATCAAACTCCCAGTCGCCTAGCAGCTCCTCAGCTTCCTTCAACTTGCCCCAGATTTTGCACTTTATCACTGTCCGCCGCCGGTAATCCCCACGCCCGTAATCCCCGATCACCTGAGATACACCCGCAATCATTTCCGTGCAAAAAGCTAGAAGATACACCCGCCAGGTTGGAGCTCCATGTGCCGACTCCTGCCCAACAACCATGTCACCGCTGCCGCTGCCGCTGCCGCTGCCGCTGCCGCTGCCGCTGCCGCTGACTCCTTCCGCCGGTGCAGCAGCACTCCACTCCTCAACTGCCGACTCGCCTGCTGATACCGACAAGTTCCCTGCTGATAGAGGGTACAAGAGTGAAGAAATTGGTCATTTTGAGACGTCTGAGAAGTCATCCCGCTTCTCAACTGCCGACTCGCCTACTGATACCAACATGTTTCCTGCTGATAGTGGGTATTGGAGAAAAGAAATTTGCCACCATTGCACAATACCCTCTATTGTCAGAGGACAATTCATTAAACACCCTCGACACAGAAGCAACTCTTCTTCGGACAAGTTTTCCAGCCTGCTCATAAGTTTGTGTCCCAGATACCTGCTGCATATATGTAAATATACATATGAATATTATATATCTATCGCCACTATTTCATTGGTTGTGACATGCACACCAGTAACCTTACCTTCCCGGCTTGAATCAAGTTGAGACTGGATCCTCCCCCCCTCTTCTCAACATAAACAAACTCACCAGTTGGGTCTAGTAGGCCTTGCAGTTTTTCCAACTCCCCGCACCCGCTGTGGTAGTTCCATTCCGGGCTGTAGGATGTCATGAGCCGCTGCACCACTTTGATGCTCGCCTTGAGTTGCCTCACAACCATGGCAGGAGGGAGCCCGACCGCTGCAGGGGCAAGCGAGGCGACTTCAGAAGCAGAAGCAGAAGCAGCGGGAAGTGCCGAAGGTATTTTAACGACCTCTGTCAAGGTGGAGGGATTGGGAAGTGGAGCAGGTATAGCAGCAGCAGCAGCAGGTATAGCAACAGTAGCAGGAGGAGGTATAGCAGCAGGGATAGCAGCAGCCCCAGCAGCAGGTATAACAGCAGTAGCAGCAGCAGCAGCGGGGATAGAAGCTGCAGCAATCGGGATAGCAACAGCAGGAACAGCAGCAGTAGCAGCAGTAGCAGCAGCAGCAGCACCAGCGTCAGCAACAGCCGGGATAGCAGCAACAGGACCAGGGATAGCTGCAGCAGCAACAGGACCAGGGATAGCTGCAGCAGCAACAGGACCAGGGATAGCTGCAGCAGCAACAGGACCAGGGATAGCTGCAGCAGCAACAGGACCAGGGATAGCTGCAGCAGCAACAGGACCAGGGATAGCTGCAGCAGCAACAGGACCAGGGATAGCTGCAGCAGCAACAGGACCAGGGATAGCTGCAGCAGCAACAGGACCAGGGATAGCTGCAGCAGCAACAGGACCAGGGATAGCTGCAGCAGCAACAGGACCAGGGATAGCTGCAGCAGCAACAGGACCAGGGATAGCTGCAGCAGCAACAGGACCAGGGATAGCTGCAGCAGCAACAGGACCAGGGATAGCTGCAGCAGCAATAGAAGCAGGGATAGCTGCAGCAGCAACAGGAGCAGGGATAGCTGCAGCAGCTATAGAAGCAGGGATAGCTGCAGCAGCAACAGAAGCAGGGATAGCTGCAGCAGCAACAGAAACAGGGATAGTTGCAGCAGCAACAGAAGCAGGAAAACCTGCAGCAGAGGCAGGGGTGGTAGCAGCAGCAAAGCAAACCTCCAGCAATCCTTTCATGTGACCCAGTTGTCCCGCAACAAGACTCGCCCGCTCTCTCTCCAACCTGAGCTCTTCCTTCTTCCCTGCCAGCGCCCTCACAATCTCAATCTCTAAATCTTCCATCTTTCTCTTCATCCCCTCAACCTCCTCCTGCAAGCTCCTCTTCTCCCCTTCTAACAACCCCACTTGTTCTCTCCCTGCAACTTCTGTCCCCATCAGTTTTCTCCTCACTCCCTCAACCTCCTCCTGCAAGCTCCTCTTCTGCCCTTCTAACAAACCCACTTGTTCTCTCCCTGCATCTTCTGTCTCCATCAGTTTTCTCCTCACTCCTTCAACCTCCTCCTGCAAGCTCCTCTTCTCCCCTTCTAACAACCCCACTTGTTCTCTCCCTGCAACTTCTGTCCCCATCAGTTTTCTCCTCACTCCCTCAACCTCCTGCAAGCTCCTCTTCTGCCCTTCTAACAACCCCACTTGTTCTCTCCCTGCATCTTCTGTCTCCATCAGTTTTCTCCTCACTCCCTCAACCTCCTCCTGCAAGCTCCTCTTCTGCCCTTCTAACAACCCCACTTGTTCTCTCCCTGCATCTTCTGTCTCCATCAGTTTTCTCCTCACTCCCTCAACCTCCTCCTGCAAGCTCCTCTTCTGTCCTTCTAACAACCCCACTTGTTCTCTCCCTGCATCTTCTGTCTCCATCATTTTTCTCCTCACTCCTTCAACCTCCTCCTGCAAGCTCCTCTTCTCCCCTTCTAACAACCCCACTTGTTCTCTCCCTGCAACTTCTGTCCCCATCAGTTTTCTCCTCACTCCCTCAACCTCCTCCTGCAAGCTCCTCTTCTGCCCTTCTAACAACCCCACTTGTTCTCTCCCTGCATCTTCTGTCTCCATCAGTTTTCTCCTCACTCCCTCAACCTCCTCCTGCAAGCTCCTCTTCTGCCCTTCTAACAACCCCACTTGTTCTCTCCCTGCATCTTCTGTCTCCATCAGTTTTCTCCTCACTCCCTCAACCTCCTCCTGCAAGCTCCTCTTCTGCCCTTCTAACAACCCCACTTGTTCTCTCCCTGCATCTTCTGTCTCCATCAGTTTTCTCCTCACGCCCTCAACCTCCTCCTGCAAGCTCCTCTTCTCCTCCTCCAACTTTCTCACCTTCTCTCTTAAAACATTTTCTATTTCCACGAGATTTCTCCTTGCCCCCTCACCGGCATCTTCTAAAGCACGAATCCTCTCCTCCAGCGCCCTTTTCTCCTCCCTCTCAGCAGCTCTGATCTCTAAAAAATGCTCCTGAGATCTCTCCATCTCCCCCACTAGATCATCGACCTGCTTTTCTCCCCTTTCCTTCTCCCCCACTAGAACCTCCATCTGATTTTGAGCCTCTTCCAGGTCTGTCCTCAGTTGCCTTTCCTGCGCTGCAGCACTCTTCCTTGCAGCTGCACATCTCTCATTAGCAGCTGCCAGCTCAACTGCTGCCTGCCCCACTGCCCTCTCCTTTTCCTCCTCCAAAGCCCCCATCTGCTTTTGTGCCTCTTCCAGGTCTGCCCTCAGCCGCCTTTCCTGCGCTGCAGCACTCTCCCTAAAAGCTTCACATCTCTCCACTGCAAATGCGAGCTCCACTGCTGCCTGCCCAATTGCCCTCTCCTTCTCCCCCACCAAAGCCTCCATCTGCTTTTGTGCCTCTTCCATAGCTCCTCTCAGCTGGCTTTCCTGCACTGCAGCACTCTCCCTCATAGCTGCATTTCTCTCGTTAGCAGCTGCCAGCTCCACTGCAGCCTGCCCCACTGCCCTCTCCTTTTCCTCCATCTGCTTTTGTGCCTCTTCCAGGTCTGCTCTCGACTGCCTTTCTTGCAATCCAGCTGTCTCTCTTGCAGCTGCACATCTCTCGTTAGCAGCTGCCAGCTTCACTGCTGCCTGCCCCACTGCCCTCTCTTTCTCCCCCACAAGAACCTTTATCTGCTTTTGTGCCTCTTCCAAAATTGCTCTCAACTGCCTTTCTTGCACTGCAGCTTTACGCCTCAAGACTGCACTTCTCCTGTTAGCAGCTGCTAACTCCACAACCCGCCCCTCTGCCCTCTCCTTCGCCTCCACCAGCTCCAGCGCCCTCTTAGTGGACTGCGATATGAATGATCTGCTAAAGACGGCAAAGGGCGCAGGGACACGGCCACGCTGAAACAAGGAAAGAAGGAAAATCAAGGCAAGAGCATACAAAAGAGGATAAGGCACGAAACTAGATCAAAGAATAGTACATCACAAGAATGGGAGGACCTCGTATTATGTGGATATAGGTTCTGCACCATTGCATTTACTCTATACAACATGGGTGCAATGTATCAGAACCTACATCTACATAATACGAGGGCCACACAATCTTGAATTAACAGCACACAAACCATTACGAAAATGAGAGTATAGACCAGCACCTGGATCTGGATCCTCAGAGGTATTGCGCTGCAACACTATTGTGCTGTGGAGAAGCTAGTTTTAAAAAGCAGATTTAGATTCTGATGACTGGATGGATAAGTGAAACGGTGTGAAAGTAGGAAAAAAACAGATCCAGAGCGGAAAATAAAAGAACAGACCTAGAACGGATAGGAAGATAGCATATCTAGAATGGATAGGAAAAGAACAGAATTGAATGCATTGCGAGACTGGAGTTGGATGAGATGGATCTTGAAGGGTCCGCTGCCTTTGAAGTTTAGGTTCGGCTAAGTTGCTCCATTCTCGTGCATGGCTGGGTGAATTCCGCCTGAGCTTATAGACCGTATGGATGAAGAATCACGTATTCCACCCTGTAACGTCACGAATGCAAACATGGTGAATTGGATAACTCCAAAACGGCATGCATGGCGTACGTTTCCACCTGTTCTTGTAACGAACGCATGCATGATAGGCTCTCCTCGTCCTCATAGCATGCATGGCGAAATAAAGAGCTTCGAGAAAGCATGCTATTGACGAATTTCGACCTGTCACGGTGCCTAGGAACGCATGCAAAGCAGATTTGCTTTGAAAAAAGCACATCCCGCAAATAAGCACCGTACAATCAGATCGACAAGTTTTACAACGTACTGAACCGAACTGCAGTTGGGTTGCTTGACGGGGGAACGAAAAATAGAATGCCAATTGGGAATGGATGGGTATGACGATCAGATGCCATTCAGGGGTGAGTTGGTTAGGTAGTGTCCTGAACTAATCCCGACCCTCAAGGTTTGGTTCGACGACCCATGTTCCAAAGCGGAAAACAAATGAAACCAGGTCTTCATGCTCTGTACCGTATCAAACCATAATAAACGGATCGTAGATTCTGTGAAGTTGATCCTCCGACCAATCCGAGTCTTTGTGTTTGGTATGCAGCGCGGGGTACAGCATAGTTGGCGGGAAAGTACACTACACCAACCAAGTTTGAGCTAGTGGAAAATTTGGTGCAATGTCCGCCTTATATGAAATCCGTTAGAGTGCGTAAGCTTGCGGACAGCAGAACAACTGCACTAAGATTAGCACATGCGAGGATTCGTTCAAAACTATGGGGATTGAGGTTGACCCAGAACGCAATTATTGGTACCCTTCCTTCTGGGAGTCCGAGCCGCGAAATTGCTGGTCCTGCATCCAATTCCACACCACCAAGATGCATCCTTGGTTCGTTTTTTGACTCAGCTGGTGGTTCTGTACGTTCCAAATGTTTCCAGAGCGGTTCAAGGTTGCAGACTCCCAGACCCGCGAAGCGCCTTCAGTACGGGAACTCAGGGGTTCCCCAAAGCAACCTACCTTCCTCCTTCTTGGCACAATTATTTCACATTTCTTTCTCGATTTTCGAGTGCGCCACTGCTACATCTGGTTCACAGAAAGCGGGGATCACGAGTTCACCGACTCGGCGACGCTAAGTCGGCTGGGCGGGAAAGTCCGCATCGAGCTGCCTATGACAGAGGGAATGCGGGCTGGGAGGTTTCGGCTTCGTGTGCTTTGAAAGTAGCAGCTTCTTATAATTGTCGCGATTATTCTTGCTTCCGTCACGGAAGCAAAGGCGTCGGGACTCCTGATCAAATAAAACCATAAGTTTCCGCTCAATCTGTAATCCCGTCACGTCTTCTATTTTTCGAGATCAGACTGCGCCTCGTAGAAGCTGTTAGAGTTACTAGCTAGATGAGTGAGTTCGATTAGGTAAGGGGGGGGTACAAGGACTATCGAGAGAGATTGTTGTACCCTCTAAGGAAAGAACCCTACACAACATAGAGTGAAATAAGCAGAACAATATGTTTTGACACACCCCCATAGGTGAAGTAGGGGATAGCCAAGCCTAACAGTGGTCACAAGACCAGTCAAGCAAGAGAACAAGCAAGGCAAAGCCCAGGGTGGATCTCAAGGACACCACACAATCTGAGCACAAGCAGGCAGCCACAAGGCCAGTTCACATGCAGATTTATAAGAGCAAGGCAGTACACAGATCACAACCTAGCAAGAGGAAACATGCAGGTATAAAGATATATAGCAGTGTACAACAAGAGCAAGTCAAGCAACCAGCAGGTGAGGCAGAGTGGGCACAAGCCCAAGAGCAGTGCAGAAACGCTGATGATCACCAGCCGCAAGGGCCTTGGTGAAGACATCAGCAGTGTTGGCCCGAGAGGCCACGAAAGCAAGGCGCAGCTGACCACGCTGCTGCAGCTCACGCGCAAGGAAGTAGCGCAGAGCAATGTGCTTCGTTCTGTGCTCCAGTCTCTGTTCGCGACACAAGGCAAGCATTGCCTTGTTGTCGACGTACAGAACTGGAGGAGAACGAGGCCGCTCCCCCAAGTCAGTCAGCAGGTAGGTCAGCCAACGGAGCTCCTGTGCAGCCATGGCCTCAGCGTAGATCTCGGCCTCACAGCTGGAACCAAGCACAGAAGAAGAACGAGTGGACCTCCACGAGACAGAACCAGCGCCAAGACTGAAGGTGTAGCCCTGTGACGAACGCTGAGTCGCCTGGTCGTCAGCCCAAGAAGCATCAGAGTGTCCTGTGAGGACCACAGGACCCCGTCCTCCAAGCACGAGCCCCATGCCCGATGTGCTGCACAAGTAACGCAGTACCCTCTTCGCAGCATCAAAGTGCACCTTTCGGTGCCTGCCGGGTGCCACGTAGCGAGCCAGAAGGCTGAGAGGATACGCGAGGTCAGGTCGTGTGCACGTCATCAGGTACATGAGGCAGCCCACAAGCTCTGGGTACGGACCACTCGGCTCTACGGACTCGTCCGAAGGTGGAGCTGAGAGCGAGTGGCCGGTAGCCAGAGGAGTGGGCTGTGGCAAGGAGTACGTGAAGCGGAAGCGCTGAAGGACCTGGTGCACCATGTGTGACTGAGTCAGGGTGATGGTGCGCCGTGCTCTGTCCCGGGTGATCTGCAAGCCAAGATAGCTCCGCAGCTCACCCTGGTCAGTGCAGGTGTGTCTCTCCTGCAGCTCCGCCTTCACTAGGGTCAGTGCCTCAGTGTCAGCAGTAGCAAAAACCAAGTCGTCGACGTACACGAGGATGTAGAACGGCGGCAGAATAGTGTCGGTGCGTAGAAACAGCGACGGGTCAGCAGTCGAAGGAGCAAACCCAAGAGCCGCAAGTGTCGTCCTCAGTGTGTCGTGCCACTCACGGGGCGCCTGACGCAGGCCGTACACTGGTCGCCGTAGGCTCCACTGGGTACCCTCAGGAAACGACCCAGTGAAGCCCTGTGGACGGTGCAACCAGATGGCCTCGTGAAGGCTACCCTGCAAGAAAGCTGTCGAGAAGTCGAGGGAGTGCAGCTCGTAGTCACGTTGAGCTGCAACGTGTAGCAACACCCGAAGAGTGGTCATCTTCGGGGTGGGGGAGAAGGTCTGAAAGAAGTCGACCCCCTCACGCTCACTGAAGCCTCGAGCAACGTAACGTGCCTTGAAGGCAGGCGGAGAACCCGGCGGCCGCTTCACCCTGAAAATCCACATGCCACTGACGATGTTCGCCCCAGGTGGGGGAACCTCGTCGACGTAGGTGCCTGTGGACTTCCAGGAAGCCATCTCTGCGTCCATGGCTGTCTGCCACTGAGAGGAGTACTCACCCGAAATCGCCTCCCTGTAGGAGCGCGGGGTGGGGATGTCAAGTGCATCCGGGTCTCCTTCAGGGGCAAGCAGCATGGTCGCGTGATGGGGTGAAGCGGCAGCAAGGCACTCCAACTCCTCCTGTCTGTCCTCAAGAACGTCACAGCCAAGGGCAGTGCAGCCAAGAGCAGTCTCACCCCCGACGGACGGAGGACAGGCAGGGACAGGGTCAGAGACAAGACTCGCAAGGTAGTCTAGGCGGTACACAGCAGCAAAGTCAACGAGCTCAGCTACTAGGGCAGACGCAGCAGGAGACGAGAACGTAGGGTCCGTCACAACCGTAGCAAGAAGGCGAGTAACAGTCGGACTGGACGCACGAGTAAGGTCAGACGGAGGGTCAGCAACGCCAGGCAAAGAAGACGCAGGAGGTAACGGTAGGACAACACGCTGAGGAACAGAGGAAGGACGGAGTGTCATATCGTGAGTGCCGGGGACAGCCGGAGCACGCTGACGACGAACACGAGGAACACGAGCACGGACAGCAGCTCTAGGCTCAGGCTCAAGGTCAAAGCTAGACTCAGGCTCTCGACGCTCAGGGGTGGAAGCACGAGTCTCAGGCTCTCGACGCTCAGTCAGGGACTCTGACACCGCAGTGTAAGGAGCAGGAGCAGGCAGTGGGGAGTGTGGTAGCAGCGGCGGCTGTGACTGGTCCGCCGGTGGACACAGCAACGGAGGAGTAGTACCTGCCACAGGGAAGCCAGTAGCACCTGGCTGAAGACTGAGAAGGTGGCGAAGAGCACCAGTAGCTCCACCAGGACCTCCAGCACCTCCAGCACCTCCAGCCCCAGCAGCTTCGGCGCCTCCAGCACCAGCAGCTCTAGCAGCTCCACGACCTCCAGCAACAGCAGTACCTCCAGTACCTCCAGCACCAGCAGCTCCACGACCTCCAGCACCAGCAGCACCTCCAGTACCTCCAGCACCAGCAGCTCCACCAGGACCAGCAGCACCTGCAGCTCCCCGACCTCCAGCACCAGCAGCACCTCCAGTACCTCCAGCACCTCCAGGACCTCCAGCACCAGCAGCACCTCCAGGACCTCCAGCACCAGCAGTACCTCCAGTACCTCCAGCACCAGTAGCTCCAGGTCCTCCGGTAGGAGCTCCGACGACACCAACACCAGAAGGACTCGCAGCACCCCCAGAGTCAGCACTCGAACTCGAAGCACCCCCAGAGGCAGCACCCTCGGTCTCAGCACTCGCAGGCTCAGGACCCTCAGTCGCAGCACCCTCAGGC